CTATGATTTATGAACATTTAAGTGCTGCAGAGACAGTGCTAACTCTGCATATGTTGAGAATATTATGGTTAAATATTCCATGCCTACTTTTTGATCAGTTCTTAAATAGCAATCTGAAAGGTTAGTGCAATAACATCAACAACTTATTTGAATAATTTAAATACTGCTTCTAATAAAGAAATTACTGAATAAGTTGCAAGGTTCTTAGGATTATTTTTAGAACATATGTTAAAAAGATGACAAACCAAATGAACTTAATTATTCTATTCCTTGTTGAAAACTGTAGGAAAAGTGAAGTAAATCATGTAAGACAGAACCCAGCAGTATTACAAAGCTCAATTTAAAACATTTGCCCAAAAATTTAAAAAGGATTCCAAGCCTGCAGAGCTGCACTCCCAGAAGCTACCAAGCCATAGCTGTCCACTTTTGCTCTGACAGCTTGATATACTGTCCCCCCTTTGTTACACATTTTGAATTCAATTTAGCATGCTACTTCCAATTAACCAGCACACACTTACCGCATTATTTGGCATTAAACAGGCACATGTGCTCCTTTAGCTCCTGCCAGTGTGAGAAGACAATACCCTGAAGGTGAACCAGGCTATTTGTTCAGCAGTATCAGGCTCTGGGAAGTGTCCAAGCAGGCTGGTGGAAGCCCACAGGTGTGTGCTTTCAAATGCCTTCAAGGTGCTTCATGCCCAAGTCTTCCAGAAATGTTACACTTCATAACCATCCTCTTCCAGAAAGATTTATGCTGTGTTTTGAATATTTCTGATACTCTGGTGCCTGAGTGCCAGAAACCTCTACTTATCCATCTCAGTCACTGGCCAGGTTGCTCTGGTCAGGGATCATACATAAACCCATTTGTGCAGAGGACATTTTTTATTCTATACAAAATACTAAAAGCAGGTGTGATTTCAGTCTGTTTCCTCTGAAAAGGAATTACAGAATCACAGAATATGCTGAGCTGTAAGGGACACACCAGGAGCACTGAGTCCAGCTCCTGGTCCTGCACAGGACCACCAAGAGTCACATCATGTGCCCAAGAGTATTGGTTCAACAGATTAAAGTTTCACCCACAACATAAACCTGCTGCTTCAAGACTATCAATAAGGAAAAAACAAGAACAAGTTTTAATGACATGTTTATATAAAAGAAATCAGCATCCTTTCACCATGATATGTCTACAACAGAAAGTACAGCACAGATCTGAGATACATCCCACATATTCCTTGAAGAGGGGTTACAAATTCACAGACATAATATATTGCTATGCAAGTGCTTATTAAAAGCAATAAAAAGAACAGAATGAACAATTTATGCTCTACAAGTCTGAGATTTGGTGTTTACTGCTGGAAATTGCTTTACACAGTGTCAGAATTTAAAGCTTTTACCCTGCAAAAGAATTACTGGGCACAGTTGCAGCTCATGCATGGAGCTGCTCAGTCAGCCACAGGTCAACCTGCAGGAGAAGTCCTTTTGGAACTAGGGACTGAGAAGGCTTCTAGCCTAAATATAGCAAAATTAACACAAGGATGTGACGATGGAGATTTCTTGGTCCATCAGTTCTCTCAAAGATTATTCTTAAGCTTACTTTGCTCTGATAAGAACTTAAATTCTAACAGAATCACTATTTGATCTACAGTATGAAGCCATGAGGGCTCCAAAATGTGTCTTTGCCTTTTCTGGGAAGGACATAAAGGTATTATTTCCATGTTTGTCCCGTTGGCAACTCCTGACACTATGCTGGTTATTACTTACACAAACAGAAATCTGCAGCCAATCAAAATAATATGGTTGGCAAGGAATCTGGGCAAACTTTAATAGCTATGGTTCTTCAACATAAAAAGGATAAAAGTGGAATAATAATTTTTGGCAGGGGAAGCGGGGAATTTTTAAAATTCTGATTGTTTTCCTATGAGAATAGTGTTAGTGAAGTCTAACTTGAAACATGTTGTTCTGGTTTCATGAATTCTCATTGAGCAAGATTCTGCTGGACCCACTGAGTTACACTCAACTTATTTCCACTCCAGCTGAAGTTATCTGGAATACACAAGGTAAGAGAGGGGGATTTGGCACAGAAACTGCATGGCTGAAATAATTCCAATGTCTTTCTGAAAGGAGTTATCTGCACATGCAAGTGTGTTGCAGAGGAATTCACAGAGCACTCTCTTCAAGAAAGTGTAATTAACTTCAGCCTCCCGGGAAACTGGGAGCCAAGAAAGGCCTTCAAAAAGTGGAAGGTGGACATCGGTTTAACTATAAACTCCATTTTCACTGAAGTTTTCACTTTCATTTTCCACAAGCCCCAGTGCTATGGTCAGGACAGTATCACCCTGACACTGTTTCACTGAAACCTGATGAAGCAAATAAGCAGAGTTATATTAATTTAGTAGTAGCTACAATCACTTGCCATAAAATGAATCTGTGGATGAGGTGATTTAGTAGATTTTTCATTTAAAAAATCCATGTTGTCTAATAAAGTCTACTTTGTAGGTAAAGAATTAGGTAAATGGGTTAATCTGTAGTAAGGGGCAGAATCAAAACATAATAATGACATCATAAGTAAACTTCCTTAATTAATAGTTAATAATGTAAAGTTGAGGCTCTTCTAGAAAACAAAAATCTGTAAACATTTTTTCTGCCTTGTGAAAAAAGTGAAAACTTTAGAAATAGAGAACTAAGACAAGACATTCCAAACTACCCCAATCAAAATTCATGTCTTAGTTTTTTTGAAATCTTTAATTCTGATTTTTACCTTTAAATCACTGTACTTTCTTTTGGAACAAAAAGTCATACTGAGCCCCAAATCAGAATGATCTGTTTGATGGCACTGAGGGGAACTTCTTTCTCCAAGGCAATATCATAAAGAAGCTAAGAAGTATTTTGGAGGAGGAATGAATAAAAAAGACTATTGCATATGAATGGTTTTGTATGAATTGGTAGTTTTTGATTTAAAAAAAGGTTTGCTGAAATATTTCCCAAGCAGATCTACTTGGTCCTCTAAATTCATTGGCACAGGCTCAATATCCGTCCCCTAAAATATGTGTTTCATCATGTACCTAAAATTGTGACGTTCTTTAAAAACACTTAATACAAAAATCTTTTATTTCCTTATACTACATATTTACAATTCTATTATCAAGGTACTGTGGAAAATGTAAACAAGTGTACACAGGTGTAAATAATATGGCTTGAGAAAAAGTGCCTCCTTGGATTAGCTGCTCGAATCATGTATCAGTAAATGAAAAAAAAAAAGAGAAAAACAGTACATTTGATATATTTTGCTGTTTGACAGCACTGTCAGGGTTTTATGTGGTTATTTATGCTAAGTAACCACATCAGTCTCTGGACATCTGTCCCTGAACTGGAATGTTGGATGTCCTGGAAAACAGGAAAAATAAATAAAAAAAAATAAAGCATGAAATCTTCACTAGGACAGTGGTGGTGGGATCTCCATCCTTGGAGATATTCAGAACTCAGCTGGGTGAATCTCTGAGCAACCCCATTTAACTCTGAAGGCGACGAGGTTTTGAAAGGAACCCTGGACCTCCAGAGGTCTCCTACAACTTTACTCTCTATGATCCTACACAAATGAGATATTTACATTACTATTGTAGTTTGGCTCTGCAGTAAATACATAGTTAAGATCAAAATATGTCAACTGCTCAACTTGAATTGTTCTTCTCCAGCAGTTGCTTAGATTATATCTCATTGTCTCATTTACCTTATCAGTTCCAGTACAGTGAAACTGCCCCAAATGCACATAATTGTAGGATCAGACCCAGGCCTTCAAATCTCCAAAAGAACATTTAAAATGCCACAGCCCTACTGAAAGTCATACGCTTCTGACTAGTTTTGGAAGAAGAATTTTGTCACATTTACACTGAATGAACTTTCCATCAACATTTACAGAGCTCTACAGTAGAAATGACAAGGGATCAGCATCAATCACACTGATATTTTGGCTGAAAGCACAGTTGGTTAATTAATTTTGACACATTCACAAATATCTTTACTTTCAATACCTATGAAGCGATGAATAACAACAATAAGACTTCCACAAAGCTTGAAAAAATACCTTCCAAACCAGTATTGCTTCCAGGAGATCACAGTTTGAATTAAACTCCCCAGTGAGCAAGTGCCTTGCTTTGTCCTGGACAGTTAATGATTGCAGATGTGTTTAAAACCTGAGAAGAACTGTGGGGTAAAATTGTTACTTCACCTACTCGTCCAACTAACTGGATCCTACTTCACCAACTCACCACTTATGCAACCACAAAAACAAAAGGTCTTAAAAAATCACAAATTACCATCAATTACTGTAATTTTGTCTCTCCTAAGACAAAAATCTGCTCTTGCAGCTCGTTATGGTAGGTGGATGGAGTGTGAACACAAGACCTGGGACTGCCCATATTTCCATGTCTACTGAGCCCATGGTCCTGATACCCTTTCCTAAGTGCACTTTTGAAAGAATCAGACTTGAGTGGTTACTGCATAGCTTTGCAACTTCTAATCTAAAGAGGTATAAAGAGGCACTCTGAAATCTTTCAGTCTAGTTAACTCAGGATATTAAAATATAGAACATAAGTTCTTTATAACAACATAGTCCCGTATCAAAGAACAAGCTGTCTAAAGAGACAAAATAGCACCAAAATGTCTTTGTTCCATGAAGTGACCAACAGCAGCCATCGAATGGTATGAGGACTGTTTTAAGCTGAGTTCATTAAAAAAAAATTGTGCAGTAAAATCATAAACCCCACAGAGATTATCTTTAAACATCTATTGTTGTTCACTGTCTGTTTTCTCCATCCAAGATAAAACCTCTTCTGTGTTAGCAGGTACCGTTTGAGGAGATCTGCTGCCCAGTTTGACTTGACAAACCACTGAAACTCATCTGACACGATGTGAGAACGCAGAAAGCCAAGACAGTCTGACAGATGACACCACGCTCTTTGGAAGATGGATTCAGACATAAGCAAGATACAGATGGAGACCTTCTTCAGCTGCAAGTTTAAAATTAGACTGCATGTTTCTCTAAAACACACAATGTTATTCAAAGAGGAATCGTTTTGGTGAATCCCACTAGTTTCTGTGCAGTGTGATTTTGCAGTGGATCTGTATCAGCTTCATAATCTGTGAAACACTCATTAAACGTGGTGGTGGTGGTTGTCAGGAGACAGGGTTTAGAAAGTCTCTGATACGTGGCGTGGCTCACTGAACATTGATGTGTTACACACTGCTTATCCTGATACTCTTTGGAGCTGGTCTGATTAAAAACATGTCTGAGCTTTCAAGTGATGAATTATATTAATATCAGAAAGAATGGCCAGAGTAGATTAATGGAGGGGCAAGAGGCTAGAAAGAAGTACATGAAACAGATTCAGCTTTTTAAAAGGATCCAACTACTAAATGGCCTCTGTAGTCTTCCATAAGAAGTGTGAATACTTCAGTACAATTCAAGCTGAATTGAATAACTTTTCATATCCAAATTCAAATACCGTCTGTGCATATAAAACAGTCCATTTATTAGTCCAAATGTTACTGTTGTAGAGTTCTTGGAAAAATACTCCCTTTTTCTTGAGTTTGTTCTTCATAAAAAGGAAGCTTTGCAGGGCCACCTAGAGAATTAAGTAGAAATACGGTTTCAGGTCTATATAACATAATACCGAAAGAGTACATAGATTATACAATTTACACTTAAATAATTCAATAAATGGTAGCCTTTAAAAGAAGGTAGGGGAAGTTACATTGTCCTCCTCACAGAGGCAGAGAGCAGGCAAAATACATCTCAGGTGGGAGGTTCCCAATGTGTTTCTTAAACTAAAGGAGGAATTGAGAGGAAACTTCCACTCAATACTACACCTCATTAAGAGGAGATATCTAAATAATTGATCCTCTTGTCCAAACACTGACCACTACCACGGGCAACAAATGGTTTCTTCTACTAATAAAGGCTGCACACTCCCAGCCTGTGTTACCTTCTCTGCAGGTTGGCCCCATCCACGTGGCTGGGCAGGCGCAGTTCCCGTTGTATGGATTGCACTGGGATTTGCTGGCACATTGGCACCGCAGGGAGCAGTTGGGGCCATACCGGTCTGACCTGCAGTCTGGAAGGACAGAGGTCTTTGGAAGACATGGAACACTTCCTAGCAGTCTCCCTGTTCTCTGGGATCAGGAAGCTACTTAGACACCTACATCTGTTAACATTAAAACATGACATTTTGGAAAGCACTGCAGCCTTCAAGTTTCGTCTGCCACATGGTCTGCCCAAACTGCAGCCCAGCTGTCCCAAAGAAGTTCCCAGAATGGAAATCATTACTGGTGTAAAAACAGGGGTTGACAGCCCAACAGAAAACATCTTGGGATCTGCTCAGGAAAGTTACTGTCAGCATCCTGGATCCACACTATCTCCTGCCCTTCTCCTTCCTGCACGGCTTGGCTGTCAGTGGGTGCCGGCCAAGAGCCTTCACTCACAGAATGTGTAATTGAAAATTAATCCGTTTTATATACACTCTTATGTCTTGCTCCAATTGCATGATTCTGCTGCCTCCTGGCAAATTAAACTCACAAAAAACCCACACTTCCAAATACAAATATGTTTCACACCATACCTGGTAAATCCTCACTGCAATTTTTTTATGCATCAGAGGTACAGGTGTGAAGGGAAAGTGAGCAGCAGGTCACAGGGCAGGGTGTGAAACACTCTGCAAACAATAGCCCTCTCTCCTTCACCTCGCTGGGAAACCCTGTGAGTACCCAGGGCATTTGCTTTCTCCCATGAGCACCCTGGGGTAAATAAAGCTCTGCTGAGACCCCCATCAGCTGCAGCCTCAGCACGTGGGAGAACTTGCCCCATGTGCTCCAAGCTTGGCCTTTTCAATTAGGAAATGTTATGAGAAAAGGTCTCCTCAAACACCTCTGGACCTGATTTTAATTTATGTAATACCACATTTTCATGTTAATAACAATGTGTATTTAAGACATCTGTTTGAAAGTCTGCAATGTTAATTTACTACAGAAAAAGAACGCCCATAAAAGTCTGTTATATTCTCTCTCTCTCTTTTTTTTTTTTTTAATTAACATTATGCCTGTTTAATGGGTGCTTTACCAGAGTTCAAATTAAAATCAGGCCTTTTATCTTTATGGCTGCTGCAGAGTCACAGCTGCTCACAGTTATATCACAGATGAACTGAGCCTAATTGAAAATAAAAATGCAAATAAAACCTACCCCATAACAGCTTTTCATGGATGGGGGCTACCCTAGCTGATTGGAGAAAAATAAAAGTGACTCGCAGAGTTTGCAAGAAGCAAAACCTCAGTTCCCATTTTTGGTGCTGAGCTTCCCCCTTGCGTTCCACTTCTGCCTAAAATTTCCTTGGAAAGGCCTGTGGATGTCCAGTGCTGTGTGGCCACAAGGGTGGTTGATATTCCCCATTGGAGCAGCACTGCAGACTGGGTGGCTTCTTTCTCTGACCACAGGACAGTGCCCAGATGGAATCAAATAATTTTCCACTTTATTTTTGCAGGTTGCACTAGTGCTTAAGCTTCCAGCAATTACTTTTTATTATTAATTGCCTGTTCAAAGCTGTTTCCTGCCCTATCCTAGGACAAAAGAAGAAATAATATTCCCCCAGTGTTTCAGAGGCTCTGGAGGATTATGGTTCCTGGTGTGAAGCTCCATAGTAGCACGTGGATGTTCACTCCTTTTATCTTGTTTGCCACAGCATCTGGATCACAAACCTCTTACACTCAATTAAACCACTGCAATTCCTTTTACTCCTGTATTATCCTAAATCCATTCTATCATAATCACAGAATCACCAAAAGGTTTAGGTTGGAAAGAATCTTAAAGCTCATCTGGTTCCAGTCCCAGCCCCCTGCCATGGGTAGGGACACCGTCCACTAAACCAGGTTGCTCCAAGCCCTACCCAACCTGGCCTTGAACAAGGCACAGCTGCTGCAGGACCACTACCCTCATCCATAGGGATTCTCCCCTACTTTCAGGGAAAGCAAATCCTGAGCTGGACATACTTTTTCATTGGTCTGAAAAGGGTCACAAATTTCAGTGTGAAAAAACACACAGAAATTGGAGCTCTTGGTGTCTATCTGCATCCTCTGGAGTCCTCCCCACTACCTTTGCAACATTTCTTGGTCTATTCTTCCCCAATCCGTGTTTTCCAAAGCTCCACGCAAACGACATTTTACAGCTGACCCATAAACAATTTTCCTATCAGTGTATCAATTTAAATATTGATTAAATCATGAGGTACAGCCCTGCTGATAAAGGTGTTGATAACCCATAAGAGCAATTTGCTACAAACAATGTGATCTTGAACACCGGCAAAAGTCCTTCTACAGTTCTTAAACCAACAGGTCATAGTGGTTTAACTATTCACAGTCCAGCCCTCAAAAACATTATCCTTACCAATGTCACATTTGTCTCCAGTCTTCCCAGGTGGGCAAAGGCACTTCCCAGTCTCTGGATCACAAGGAGCATCTCCGCAGTCACACTGACGCTGGCACCTCTCACCAAACCAACCCCTGTCACAGGCTGATACCAAGAGAACTTTTTACATGCACATTTGAATGGCAAGGTGTACATTAAAGCCAGAGGAGTTTTCCCAGGATGTCTCAGAGGAAAGCTCATAAACTCTCTGCTGAAGCCAGTGTAAATGCCAGCTTTAATGAAGAATTGAATGTAGTGGAATAGGCATAATATTTGTATGAGCTCCCCTTATGTCGGGTTTGTCTAATCTAACTTATCAAAGGTATCTGTAAATCTGTCCCAGAAATGTAACTGGTACTTATTTTCATTTTTAATTAGAATTCTCTAGAAGACTATTCCATAACACTCAACAGGTCTGACATGCACCTATTTAATAATCTTATTTGGAGCTTTAGAAGCAAATTTAGAATCAGTAAAAGGGACTTATTTTTAATAAATGACATGTGGAACTCATTGCTCCAAGACATCATGGAGACCAGGACTTTCACTGTATTAATCGGAACCAGATTAGTTAATTTCTAAGGGAATAAGAACACCCAGCTGTCTAACAGGAAATCTGTCCCAATTTCAATGTTTCAGGATATTCACAAAGAAAATATGGAAGAAGTTGCTCTTAACAAACAAATATTTGAGTAATTACATGAGGCTTTTCGAGATCTGTTTTGGCTCTGGTTTTTTGTTTCCTTTTTTCTCTCGCATCAGAGGGGTACCAGTACCTTTTTCACAGTGGACACCATGATACCCCAAAGGACAAATGCACTGTCCTGTCACTGCATCACAGCTCGCTCCATTTTTACAGGTACAGGGGTTAAGACAGCCCAGCCCATGAAATCCAAGGGGGCACCCTGAAAAATTAAAATGAGGAAGGTCCATGAAGAAAATCATACACCCTGTTAAAATCCTTTGTATTCTCGGCTACGTTCCCCGGGAGCCATCAAAAGTTACCCTTAACTCTAATAATGCCACGTGCTTTCAAACTTGTGCCACCCAGCATCAGAGACATGCAAGATCTGGAGGCAGCCAGGTGATCTGAGCCATCCCAAAAAATTTAACTGAACCAGCAGGGTGTTTCTTGACTACTCTGAAGCCCCACCTCCCCCCACAATTACCCCGGGGGCCCCACTTACTGTGCTCGCAGGAGTGCCCGTAGTAGCCCTGGGGGCACTGGCAGCACCCTGTGAACCTGTCACAGGTGCCATTGTGCTGGCACGAGCAGTCCAAGGTGCAGCCAGACCCGTACTTCCCTGGGAGACATTCTGCTTGGCAGGGCATGGACAGAAAAACAGACAAACAAAAAAACAATCACTGACCTCACCCCAAAAATACTCATATGGGATAGCTTGTATTGCTGAGAGATGATGCCCAGAGGATAACTTGCAGACCCAAGAATATGTGTTATGAAGACACAGAGCTTCTGCCCAAATGCAATGCATTTACATACTTTGATGAAAAATCGTTTATATTATATAAATGTTTGAACAATAACTTCCTCGTACTTTTAATAGTCTGCCTTTTTTAATTTGTCTCTTCACATACTTGATGTTGAACCCATACTATGGGCTGTAAAGCCGTGTAGTGAATGGTATAAATGTTATCTTCTTTTTTTTTTTCTTTATCCAGAGCAATATTTTCTTTTAGGCACTTAGAAAGTGTGAAAGAAAACATGAAGCTTTTCCTCCTCTGTGTTATCATTGGAGTTCACGCTATTCCAATTTCTAATAAAACCAGGAGAATCTTTTTCACACATAGCAACAGCCTCTACATGTATAATGAGATATCTGCTTTCACAGTACCAAACACATCTCAAATTACTGAAAGTCAAGCCATGCAAAGGGGACTGTGCCAATATAATTAACCCCAGCATCATCTCTGAATAAGTTAACTTCCCACTGCTGTGATAATTTGAATCTGGGCAGACGAACTTAAACGAGCGTGGCCGTCCGAGTAATCAGATTCAGAACTCTGCAAATGCCAGACAAGATCTTTCAAGAACATCATATCTAATCACTATTAAAAGGATGCCTGATTAGCTGTCTTTGATTTCCAGTCAAAACACACTCAAACCCACACTGCTGTGGAGATCAAGACTCGATTTTCCAATAATTTCACTCTCTCTGTCAGAAGATAAACAGTGAAGCTCTTTCTAGTGACACAACACACAGTCTCTTATACAACGTGTGCAAGTCTGCCCCCCATGCTCCACTCCAGAGATGTTTTATCTGTAAGATACACCCAACAAGCCACGACTCCATATGGTGACACCTGCATCACCCTGCTGAGCCTTGGCAACCCCCATGAAGCCTGTGGGTGACTACAGGGATTTAGAGGAACAGACAGAGATGAACACAATTGGTGTTCAACCTGCGAAATGCCAGGTCAGTCAGTTATTGGTTAACTGCAATTTTTTTAGTGCCTGTCCACGGTGATCATTCACTGTGCACTGAATGCTCACAGTACTCACACTGTGAGTACCTCCATGTAGCATCTTTCCTTTTCTTCCTGCTTCTTCTCTGCACACACACATGCATGAATTGGGCTTCTGGGTCTTCTCAAGTGCAAAGTGAAACAATTATATCTCAGAATGCTGCTAAAAAGTGTCATTTCTATATAATACTTTTATATAGGGACACTGCCCTGTAAAGAGCAGTGCGTGGTAAAGATACTTATGGAGTTTGAGGTGGACATTCTACAGGTGTCAGGGGCAGAAAGCTGTAAATAAGTTCCTAAGAACATGTTGAGGAGTTTGAACTATGGGAGTTATGTTCTAAGAATGCCATTTGTCTTGAATGTGAACTCGGAACTTGTGATTTCCTGAACATTTAAGCCTGCAAATATTCAGGTATTTCATCTACAGAGAAACATGGGAAGGTAGAAATGCAGAATTATTTTTGGGAGACAGACAGAAGGACAGATGTGGGAAGACTCTGGGCTGGCAGGAGGGGTTCTGGAGTGAAAACTGAGCTTATTCTGTGAGTGTGCTTTGCCTTGTGTAAGGGAGAGCTGTCATGGAGAAGTAAGGGTGAGAGATAGCAGGGTAATCTCAACTGCTTTGGACAGAAGCTGTCAGAACATCTGTGAAGTCAATATATGGGATGTTCAACTGCAGTTCAGTGTCAAATGGAAGAGAAGAACACAACAAGAGAGAAAGGAGACATAGGCTTCTGCTGACTGAGGAGCAGCACACGAAAGAAGACACAAAACAACATTCCCATGAACAAAAGAACACAAAAGTTGGACAGCAGAAAAAATGTCCTTGCAAAGGAATTTATGAGAGTTACAAGCAGAACTCACAAGGTTACTGTCTCTGAGAAATGACTTGAAGCTCTAACTAGGGGTAGTTCTGTGTGAGAGAAGCTACAGAGGGAAATGCAGCAGTGATGTAGTCTACTTAAGCAAAAACTGTCCCCTTTTGTGGTTGCCTGGGGACAGTTCAAACCTGTTCTTGAATGTACAAGTCCACTGGCATCAAAGCAGAAAATCACCTTTCTCACAGGATCTTCCTGTCCAGCCCAGCCCACAGGTGCAGTTGCCATCCACGTGGTCACAGATGCCACCATTCTGACAGGTACATGTCAGGTGGCAGCTGGGGCCATACTGTCCCTGGGGACACACTACAGAGAATTAACAAAGTTTGTAAAGAAAAATAAATTAGCATTCAAGAAAAAAAAAAAGGATGAAGGTGATAGGGAATAAATACAAACACATGCTCCCCACAGAGTATTCCAAGTTAGTGGTGTCTCCCGAGCGTGACCAGACACCACTCCATGACTGTTATCAGCTTCATCCAAACACTTTGTTTTGCCATATCTCCTCAACCCTGTGGAGATCCCAGTGCCCTGGTACTGAGGGTGGCAGAGCGAAGCGGGGAGATGTGGCAGGATAAGGAAGAGTGATGGAGCAGAGAGGGACAGAGCTGAGTACACCTGACTGCGACGTTATCGAGCAAAGGCACTGGGAATGCAGCTACAAACAATGTTTGATGCTGGCTTTTGTTTGCTGGGTGTTTTAAGTGTGTCACCATTGACGAGGTGACCTCAGGTCCCGCTTTGTTACCTTGCTGACAGCCAGGTCCCATTTGGCCAGGGGGACAGGAGCACTTGCCAGTCCGTGGGTCACACTGACCTTTACCACAGGCACAGAACTGGGCGCAGTCCTTCCCATATCGGTTTTCAGGGCAAGCTGAAGGAAACACAGGCTTTTGTTAAACATCCTGATGCCAGTTTTCATCTTTAACATAGGCAGGATCTTATAGGTAGAGTTTGCTTCGTTTTTATTCCACCTAGTGTGCTTCAAAGCAACACCTATGAAACCAAAATCCATCGAGAGAGATGACTGCTTCATCCTCTGAGACTTTACCTGAGGTTATAAATATAATCCGTGGTTTCACATGGAGTATTTAAAAGATTTCCTACTAAAATATCAGTTGCTCATCCTTCCAGCTAAAAATATCTTTCCATCTTTAATACTGATGCTGTCCTATACCAGAGAACAAAGCTATAGGCTCCGAAACATTCAAACATTGCCTTTCAGTGAATAAGCTGAAGAGAACTTCACAGAGATCAGAGCTTTGGAAACAGGACAGAAATTCAGCCACGCCATTTAGCTCTGAAACACAGAAGTAACACTAAAGTTGCCATGGAGCCTTTACCAGTTTTGCCACGACAAAACTTGATCTTTTTCCCATTTACTGAAACTAATGGCACCATAGTGTGAAGCAAAATATTGAGATAATTTCTCAACCTCGAAATTTTGGACAGGAAGAAGGAACTTGAGCAACTCATGCTGAGCTGGCTCTAGAAATACATTTGGGCAAGCAGGTTGTAATCCTGGGATGGGTGTCCTTGCTCCTACGCGCGCAGAAGAGAGGGAAAATATTTTGCAAGAGATTTTTTTACAAAGCTGGAATCCTGATTTACAATTCAAGGAAGAGGTAGCTGGGATCTGTCTGTTTTTCTACTGACAAGCTCTTATGCAAATTATTCTCTGTGCTGTGTTTTGACAGAGGCAGGACACGAATGTTGGCTTACTTTTACTGCAGTCGGCTCCAATGAAACCGGGCGCGCAATCACACGTTCCCGACGCGGGGTCGCAGTGGCCTCCGTTCATGCATTTACAGGGATTTTGGCAGTTTGAACCATAAGTACCTTTTGGACACCCTGTTTGAAAACAAAAAAACCCCATCAATTAGGCTACGTTGCTACTGGGCCTGCTGCTTTTCACGCCATAAACACTTTTTTTGCTTACAACCGAAATTAGATTTTTATTTTCTAAGTCTAGTCGCTTCTAGAGGGCCAGGAGCAGGCCTTGGTGAGCAGACGGCTGCCTGGGGCAGCATGGTCCTTGGGGCAGCACTGACTTGGAATATCAAACCCCTGGAAAGCTGGACCAAGTGCTGTTGCCGAGCCTGGTCCGACTGCTCCTGGCTCTGTGCTCCTTCCATTCCCCATATGTGACTGTAGAAAGACAAGCAAACCCAGTTCTAGAGAGGTTTTCCTCTTGGGATTTATGTTCCAAATAAACCTGTTCCCTCTTTCCCTCCTACAGAGAGGGAAAGATGGGGCCCTGCTCCCTCTTCCTTTGGGCAGCAGCAGCCTGGTTTGCCTGAGACGGCGAGAAGCCGTGAGCCATCCCCGTGTCTTTTAGCAGCCATTTTATGGATACTGGGGCAGGTCATGTCTTTCAAAAATGTGGAAGTTGGGGGAAGCTTGTTTCCTCTATTGTCTAGTGATTCCCTGCAAAAAGGAGCTGGCATTGTAAGTGGTAGCCCAGAGAAGTTGTGGATTCTCCATCCCTGGCAGTGTTCAAGGACAGGTTGGATGGGGCTCTGAGCAACCTCTTCTAGTGGAAGGTGTCCCTACCTATGGCGGAGGATTGCCCCTTCCAACCCTGTGGATGGAAGACTGTGAAAACCTGCACATGACAGTAACATGGAATTTCAGAAGAGACCTTCTCAGGAGACAGACACAGGAAAAAGATGGTTTAAATGCAAAGTCAGAAAATTCCCTGAGGAAAAAACCAAAGCAGCTGTATTTCATAAAAACCAGTGGGATCATTAGACCTGGATGGATTGTTGAGCCAGTGTTACATGGCAACAAGCTGTCCATGAAGAGGTTTTCCAGGTTGTACTGACTATTTCTGGTTTCTTTCTAGTCAGCTAACGTGGAAGGAGACATGAACAAAAGATCAGGGAGATCTGAATGCATCTGCCATGCTTAGCTTATGTCTTCAAGATGCTCTTTAGAGCAATGAAGGTTGGAACTGAGGGAAAGAGCTGGGCAGAGCTGTTGGGCACGTGCCTCTGTCTGTCACCACTGAACCTCCAGTGTGCCACCAGTCCAGCGATACAGGTTATTTTCCTAATTTCCAGTGTACTGGAAGAGAAAGTACCTGGTACTTTAAGAGCAGCATGATCATCATCAAACAGTTCCACTAGTGCTGCTATGTCTAAATGTCATTTCTTTACTTGCTCCTTCCTTCTCTTCCCTGGCAAAAGGAAAGTCTGTGGCTACTTTGGAAATCTGGTTGAATATATATTCGCACACGTCTCCAAGCAACAGATCCCTTGCAATCTGTGCATAAATAACTTCATGTTATTTCTCTTTCCTGAAGGCATGAAAACATGGCCTGAGTGGCTGGAGAAATCTCTGGATTTTCTGAACTATTCAATAGCAAGGGAGAGCTTACGGGGAAGCTTTGAAGGGGTGCCTCTTACAATAAAACTGAACATTGGCTTCTGCTCAAACCAGGATAGCAGATCATCAGGACTAAACAGATACACACTTTTATAACATGCAGATACTCTCCCCAGCCCTTCTCAACCATGAACTCTTCTCAATGAATACTTTGTCATCAGTGTTTCTGCCTGTTACTACACAAATTCATGTGCAAACCCTGGCATCAAGGAGTGAGCCCTGCAACATCTAATTCATTCCCACTGAAACATGAAGTTAAGGACACACCCAGATTCTATGATTTAATTGGACTCTACGTGAGTTTCTCTTTCCCTCTTCCCTTTCTTTTTGCTATCATTTGGCTTTCCTCCTTTTCTTTAATTCTGTTTCCCACACTCCCAAACACATTGCTTCTCCTTGGCAAAGCTTCCAGAGCTGTTCCTCAGCTCAAGGCCAGTGATAGATGCTCCATCACTGAAAGGGATGCAGTAATTCAACACTCCCTCACACCCCCTTACCAATTTATTTACTCTTGCAGCACCATCTGTATTTCAGTTCAAGAAGGAGCAGCACAAGCAGGTCAAGCTCAGTCACTGCAATGTGCACATATTTATTAACAAGGCTACCTCATCTGTTACTACTGTGCAGAAGACTTTCAGTGCAGACACCGGGGGCAATTTACACCGTGTTCTACCATTTCAGTAGGCTCTGCTCTTCTAAAGAGGGTTATCCTCTCACTGCCATATGTCTTTATGTCTTTATCTCATAGAGACATTTTCAAATTTAACGGTTTCCTGTGCTTCTCACTTATGTTCTTCTGCTAACAAATGAGTGGCAGCCAGATTTCCACCTCATTTCCCAATTTTTTTCCTTCTGGTTTGAGTTGGTTTGCCATGACCAAGAGCTCCCAAATCTTTTCATACCAGTGGCACACTCTGAGACTTTTCTGACCAACGTTATTAACTGCATTGTCAAATAATCCCTCCTGACACATCCTGTTACCTAGAGCCTAGAGGTGAAGCTGGTGAGGTCTTTCTGGCTCTAGGTGTCCCCAGCCCAGTCGATGTCACCACTTACTGCTTTTTATTCATTTCACCCAAGCAGATCTTCCCATTCACCAAGTTATGGACAAGTGATGGGAACCTTATTGCTAATTTGTCTGCTTCCTCTGGATCCTGCCAAGAGACTGTTTCAGCTCTTCACTCCAAAATTTGAGAACATGAAAGCCTCATTGCTCTTGGCTCCTGGAAATTTGACTTCCCAGCCAACTACACCTTTTATAGATACTTTTTTCAACCTTTTTTCACAGTACTATAAATATAGCAATAGTTGCCAGAAACTGTTTCCAGCAGCATCCAACCACATGTTGACTGGACTGAAGCCCATTTCACGTGTTTGGGAGCGGCTCCCTGTGCTGGTTTTAATATTCTATTGAAAGCTTCTTCATCCTGGAGCAGCCCCAGTTCTCCCTGTAGTGAGGACAGCAGGAACATGGAGTATTCCCACCGAAGTCACGCTAGCTGTCCTTGGTTTTCAGTCAGTCACTTTAGAATCAGGCCCACAATCTCTCCCTTCACTGACCACAATCTAAAAATAACTCACAATTAAATGTTTTCCTTCTATTTTTGTGTCTGTCTATGCAATGCTCAGAGTTGTACAGGGGAGAATAGGAGGTTCTCTCTTCATGAACCTCCACCATTCCATTATTTCTCCAGTAAACGTTTAACAAGCCTGTATTTAAGTGAGAATTTGCTGTGCAAGACACTGCGCAGTTTTGGAATCTCAGAGAGCACAACACCATGAAGTCTCTTGTCTTATGCTCTATAGTTTTAATCCCAGCTACATAGAAATCCATGGCTAAATTCCCTCTGAATGCAGCAAAACACAGATTTCATTTTGTAATTAATCTTTTTATATATTTTATATCAGAACTTCAGTGTCATTGTTAATGTTTTCAATTTTAAAATTCTGAAATAAAATCTTAAGGACTAAAGCAAGTTCGAAGACATTTACCATAATTTATAATTTAGATTTAGTGCTACACAAACAGGTAATGAGTCCTGAGGGATTGCTACATAAAAGTAATAGGCAGACCATGATTAAGTCTTTTAAAATGATACCGTTAAATAGTTGATCTCCACTACTGCTCTAACATTTATTATAATCTGATGTATAATGGATCCAGATGGCTCCAGTCTCAATGTTGAAGGCCAGACTTCGATCTCACTTACAGCAAAAACTGATGTACAAAGGAAGATTGAATCAATCTTTTCTATTTTATTTATAATTTATATTTTAAAGAATAGCTTGTGATGACATGATGGTACCGCAAAAGCCAATGTCTAAAATGAGTCTCTTTCCTGCTTCTACTCAAAGAATAAAGAACAGGTTTAACCCTTACTAAAGCTGCACATGTTACAGCTGGCTTTTGTATACAAACTGTCACCCAAAAAAGCAATTAAAGCAGGGCCACACTAAATTCCTAAGAAAGGAAAATCAGCGTTCGCCAAAGAGAGAAAGGCTGAGCTCGAAAGACAACAGCTTTTTTTTCCCCTTTTTTTTTTTTCCCTTCAAAATGAGACTATTACAAGCCATGGAGTAAAACCAAAATTAAAGTTGTAAATAAAAAGGTAATTAAGTGTCTCCTTTATTGGCTACTTTGGTATGTGTTTCTTATCAGCTGCCACATTCCAGCAGAAACAATTTTACAGATGTCCTAAAATACCGGCATGAGGCGTGTGGATCTGGGAATATTTTTTATGATGGAGCATTGGGCCAGTTGGCATTTTGTCCTCTACACTAGTCACCATTTTTCAATCCAGAGTAACAGTTGGTTTAATTTGATTGTTCCTCAGAAGGCCCTACAACTGAAGGGACTTTATGAATCACTCAGATTTATTGCCAATTGCAGCTTGTTGTTTTCTCATAACCATTTGTCCTTACTTGAGCACGCAGAGATTTCGGGAAGTATTTTGGACTTGGTATTTGGAAATGAAAGAGGTACTCAATATCCAGGTATAGTTGAAGATGGGAGGTGTAAATGCAGAGGATATATTTATATTCTTTAGCATGGCATGAAACTGGAAAGAATTTACCTAATAAATCTGGGGGTTTTAAAAATTAATTTAAATGTTAAATTAATTACATTTTTTAATTAAAAATTTTAAAATACATGTTTTTAAATTAATCCCTTGCAATAATACAGGTATTTTTATTACTGTAAATTAATATGTTTACTTCTTATACTATAACTTCTTACACTAAAATTTTTATATATAGATATCTATATAAAAACCTCTATTTCTCTCAGTCAACACGGAGGGTACTGATACAGATGAACTCAAAAGCACCAGCACATTCTCCTGCATGACTCAGTCCTCTCTCCAAAAGGCAGCATCCCCCAAAGGTACTCACGGAGGTGGCACTGGTCACCGTGGTACCCTGGGATGCAGGAGCATTCTCCAGTCACAGGGTGACATTCCTGGTTCTCGGCAGAGCACTGGCACACTCCGTTACAGTTCCTCCCGTATGTGCCCGGTGGACAAGCTTTGGGAAGAAGAAATGTAAACCAATAAATTAAATTTGTCTTGGTAAATATAGCACTCAAACAAAGAGCGAGCTCAAATTTATTAAATAAAATCCCTGCCTATGGAACAACGCTCTCCTCCGGGACTTTGGATTTATTACATTTACTTGGGGGTTACTTGACTGCTTGATTTTGTTTTGTTCAGTCAATTTGTGCCCAACTGTCAAGGGCTAGATACAATTTTCTTGTCACTAGAAAAAAATCATAGGGAAATGTCAGGTAAAATTGACTAAAATAACAGTATAATTCCCAAGGGACCAGGAATGTGGATAAAGACATTCTACCTTTTGCAGAGAGTTTAAACTTGCAAAGCTGCTGTGGCATCAACATCTCCACAGGTTTCATTCTGCCTGTTGACAGCCACATTGCCTGCAGGTTTGGACCTTCCACATGTAATTCTTAGGTCTGACTTCCATTAAGTTGCCCTAGCTATGGGTCAGGATTTAGAGTCCTTTAGTGGGGGATACAGGACACCGATGTCAATTCTTTCAATTCTTATTTATTTCTGGTTTTCCTTTTGCAGAAGCAGGGCTCAGGCAAAGCTTTGTAAGGAGGAACAAAGTCAGGGTGCTGCAGCTGGGGTCAGAGCAGCAGTCTGTTTCCAAAGACAGCTCTGGGGTAAAAACTCCATGCTGAAGAAAAACCAGATAATGCCCTTCCCATGAGCTCTGAGAGCAGGAATAGATGGTCTCTCATGGGGACAAGGCCAAGAAAAACCTGAGCTGCTGCTTTACTGTCAGCACAGCGATGGCTGCAGGCAGGAGCTGGGCTCCACTGTCACCTCCTCAGCCTATTTGGATCCAGTTCAGCCCCCAGTTGCTCCAAGATGTTCAAACCCAGAGAGAGCAAACCCCACCAGCCCAAACTGCACCTGGCACAGAGCTCAGAGCTGGGTGAGGGACAAGCAGCCCTTGGCCATCCTCCCTGCTGTCAGGTTGTTGTCTCCTCCCTCTTCAGGCACTATATCATCAGGTTGGTACTGAAGAAATTAATTTCTTAATTAATTTACACGGGAAGCGTTTGCATTTTTATAACAACCAACTTACTTTTCTCGCAGCCGTGGCCGGTGAATCCCGGGGGACAACCGCAGGCGCCCGTCAGGTGGTGGCAGGGGCTGCCGGGGGGACAGCGGCACCGCTGGGCACAGCCCGTGCCAAACCGGCCTGGCAAACACGCTGCAGGGGTGACACCAACCCTCGTCAGGGCGCTGGGCAGGGCCCGGGCAGGACGGGGCAAAGCCACCCCGATCCAGTGGATCCACTGCTCCCACCCCCGTGAGCGCCTCCAGACCGACCCCGTGGCACAAGGTGGGAATGAAAACGCCCCACCACCAGCCCTGGATTTGGGAGGAATGTGTGCACCAACCTGAACTGCCTGCCTTCACTCACGTTTGTCACAGTGCCTCCCTCGCCATCCCTTCTGGCAGTGACACGCTCCGGTTTGGTGGTGGCAGGACAAGCCGTGGACGCAGTCACACCGCTCCTCGCACCGCTTCCCAAAATATCCCGGGGGGCAGGCTGAGGGGGAGGAGACAGAGCAACAGCTCTACCTGCTGCATGGACAGCATCCACCACTGGTAACCAGCCAATATCATCCTTGACTGTGGGATGCATATTTGACAGAGTGCATGGCCAGAAAAATCAGTGAAAGAGAAGATACTAAAAATATCAAAAGCATTTAGTGCTGGCTGTTAATAAGTCTGCACAGGAAAGCTTAAAAAGACTACTTAGTCGTAGTCTGGAGTGTTAATCCAGATACAGAGATGGTGATGTCATTTGATTTGACACAACTGCGCACAAAGAAACAGCTGTTTGAACAGAGAAAACATGCTCTGTCCACAGACTGCTTCCACCTCTCAGTGCAAAGAGTCAAAGAGAAGGTGAGGCCTGAAGAGAGGAAAGGGGGGGAACTGCGAAGGCTTTACAGGCCATGCTGTTGGCTGAGGCTTTGAGTGCACTCAGCACCTGAGGAGATATCAGAAAACTGCTCGTGTCTTGCAAAAATCACAACACGTCAGTGGCCAAGCTGAAAGCACATTTCAAGTCACCTGGTATCTACTGCACGTGAGATTTCATCCCTATTTCAGGGATTCAGATGATTCTAAACATGCCAAACAGTTTTGTCAAATCTGGATCTGGATCTTTGTCAAATGCAAGATCTGTAAATCTGAACCATCACAGTTTATTTTGCTGAGCTCCCCTCAGTGACCCACAGAGACTCAGCAGCAGGTGGCTGATCTGGCACATTGTCCTTAAAACTCCCTCCCTTTTGTATGTTCTTCCTTGTACCCCTAAGGCAGAGAAACACCTTCATTTTCTTAGCAGGCAGAGAACAGAGGTGGGAGGAGATAAAATGATTTGGACAAGGGCATGGTTGGGCAGAGAGGGCATGGTTATCACAGCCCCAGAGCCTGTGGGGCTGAGACATCGGGTGAGCAGGCATGCATTCTGACTGGTCTACAGAATATTGGAAAACTAAGACATAAAATAGAAAAGGACTTCATACTGTGGAGGCAGAAATGGCTAGCTGTTAAAATCAAGCATCTGCAGAAGGAGCTGCCCTTACCAACATCACAGTGGTCCCCAGTCCAGCCGGCACGACAGACGCATTTCCCCGAGGGCTGGTCACACACCCCATGGTGGCAGCTGCAGTTCTGCCCACAGCCCTCTCCATGCTGCCCATCCCCACAATCTGAAATGAGATGGGGGAGACTGACAGAGGGCCAGGCTGGAGGAGCTCCAGGAGGAACATACTTATGCCTCTGCAAGACAGTGAGTCACCTAAACTGGTCTTAAAAACCTTCATTGACAGAGATTTTGAAGCCTCCCTTGAAAAAATTCCTTAGAAATAAATAATTTTTTCTCTTGGAGGATTTACTACTTTTTTCTCCTCAAATGAAGGTCATTACCTATTTTCACCATCCCCAGGGGACAGGGAATAGCTTATTTTTCTTATCTATTGAACAAGTTTCCAGCACCATCGTACATTCAAGTGCCAATATCTCCCTCATCTCTGACTAAACAACCCCAATTTTTTCAGCCTCTCCACACCTAGTGCTCTCCATCCCTCTGCCTTCTCCTTTTTTCCTGTGTTGTCTCAAACCAGACCCCACCACAACTGAATTTCCTAGCAGAGCAACAGAGGTGCTGGAGGGATGGAGGATGTGATGAGACTCACCCAGCTCACATGCTGTCCCTGTCCAGCCCTGGGGACACTGGCACTCTCCTGTCACACTGTCACACGTGGCCTGGCCGTGGCAGACACAGCGCTGGAGGCAGTTTGCACCGTACCATCCAGGAGGGCAGCCTGGGAAGGGGAGGCAGCACAAAACATTCCATTAGGAAGTGCAGGAGAAAGATGCAGGTTAAACACCACCCTTTCCCAGCTCACACCCCTTCTCGCCCTGGAAGATGCTGTGGGAGGTACAACCAAGTAGAAATGGGGACATGATTGATAAGGAATTACTCAGCATAAAACTGGTCTGGGAACAAAATAGTGGATGAAGTGAATTAGCTGTGACCCACCAAATGACCTTGAGATTTCCTGTTTGTACCAACAAAAAAACACCCTTTGGTTCCCACCAGCTTTCTCAACACCAAGGAGGGGAGTTATTGATTCCCCTCTTTTCAGAATTTCTTTGTACATTTCACTTAAAATCACAGCTCCTTCTCCAATTAATCCTGCTGCCCACAGCTGGCTGATGAAATTTCACAGTTTACCTGGTTTTAATTTAGCAAGTTTGTATTAATTCCCATCACAACCAGATGGACAAACTCTAATTTTTTAACACAAAAACCCCCAAACCTCTGTCACATGCCAGAGTGACACCTCTTTAGGATGGCAACAGGAGTGAGTTCTCACTCTGCAAAAGCACAGTCACAGGAGGATGGCTCCCCCAGCCTCACACAATTTTTCCACCTCCTTACTTCCAAAGAGAAAAGAAATCTCCAAACATTTCTTTAAAGGAAAAGGGTAATTTGACAATGTCTTCAGATTTGACAACAGCTTTTTTAACTTTTGCTTTGGTTTCGTATTTGAGGTTCTCAGACAAACCAGAAAAATTTAGGTCATGTCATACATGTCATCAAGAGCGGTTTGGTACCTTCACAATTTTTTGATCCTTTGTGGAAAGAGCTCTTCAGATCAGGTTTTAAAGGGGGATACACTTAATTTATATATTATTCTACCCCTGCCAGCTTTCATCCCCTTTCCCTAACAGTCCTCTTGGTATGCTGAAGGCCACTGAGTGAAGGGCTGACACCAAAGCCGAGCTCACCCAGGAGCATCCACAGCAGCATTCCCAGCTCCATGGCACTGCTGACAGCACAGGGAAGGCACAGAACAAGGAGCCTTCTGCAACGGGGATGGACAGACTTTCCAGCGGGTGAGGTGCAGAGGATTAGGTCACACAAGCTGCAGTGCAGCCTTTCTTTGCCAGCCTCTTTTCTTAAGGCTCCATGGAGTTGGGCTTGTGTTTGAGTCACACGTATGGGTCTAATTGCCCAGGCTCAATGCCTTTCACATGTCCTGGATTTAGCCCACGTCTGGAACAGCGCACGGTAACAACGAGGATCAGTCGGGCACGTGGGATGGTAAATCAGGCCACAGAAAAGAAACAGAGCTTCACTTCAGTGTCATAATTCGGAGTTTTATGGACCTTTTCTCCCTTCATCAGACCTCAAATTCAGCTCTCTTTCCAGTTTATGGCTGTTTCAGCCCCCTCTGCCCCGTGCACACTGAGCTCCTACACCCTGCAATGGTGCCGTGGATTTATTTAATGGACCGATCACGTCATTGCGGATACAGAACCAGTGACAACACAAGGCAATGAGCTGATAGTTAAAATACCAGTGAACTTCCCCCAAGCAGATGTTTTATTTCTTTTCCGTCCTATAATCCATCTTCAGGAGGTTGAATTTCCAACTGTACCTTCTTGGCAGGTGGCTCCTTTCCAGCCCGGGCTACAAAGGCACGTCCCAGTGACGTGATGACAGAGTGCTCCGTTGTGACAGTGACAAGTGTTGCTGCAGCCCGGCCCGTAGCTATTCCCCTGGCAGGCTGTAATGAGAGAATTCCATAAAACTCCATCAGGAAGCATCAAAGGAGGCACTGCGCAGAGCAAACCTGAGACACAACCCAGCGCCAGGGAAATCAGGTTGGAATTGTCTTCTAATGATACACTTTTCACATCACAAGGGTGCCTAAGAACATATGTAATCATAAAATCATTGGGGATGGAAAAGACTTCCAAGATCAAGTCCAGTCTTTGGCCTAATACCACTGTGCTCATTAAACCAAATCACAGGATGCCACATCTACTCATTTTTTTGAACACTTCAAGGGATGGTGACTCCACCATTCCCAGAAATATATATATACATATCTATAAAACCATTTATTAACCTGACACTAGATAGAATAATAGAATTGTTTGGGTTTGAAAAGACCTTTAAGATCATTAAGTCCAACCATTAACTCAGTACTACCAAGTCCACCACAGCATCAGCCAATACAACTGCAAAGCGTATTTTAAAGCAATTCTGCAAATTAGGATCACATAAAATGAAATTGCTCTGCAACACTTGCAGTTTAGAGGTAATGTATCTTATGAGAGCCTAGCACAATAATGTGGCTTAAAAATATGTATCATAGCACATTCTGAAGAGGTTTTTATGGAAGGGTTGGACCGCTGGGGTGATGGATCAGCTGTCAGCCCCGGCCCTGCGGAATGTCTTTGTGCTAAACTAATGGTCCAGCAGAGCCACCAGCCCGACAGCCCGGGTATTTATTTGCATCCTGGTAAGAGAACTGACAACTTCATTGTTTTCAGTGTTCATTTTTCACAGCTGGATGCCTTCGCTCACCCCGACTCTCATTCTTTGGTCAGAGAGGGGTGATATTTTCAATGAGTTTGGTTAAGCAGCTGGCTCCCAGGTGAAAACTTAACGCGGCCATCTCGCAAGCGTACGCTCGCCACAGCTCTGCTTTCAGTGCTGCTGCCTGTGAAAAATGGCAGTGATAAAATTCCTGCAGTCCCTGTTGCATTGGAAATTTGGATAGCTTTAAATGGTGGAAAACAGACAGTACTGTTACCCTGTTTTCTTCAGATATCTCCCCAAAAATATACAAAGCGAGTTGATGCAGCTGGATCACCTCCTTGGACGGTTTTTGTTCTGTCTTGCAGGGGCTCTCCTGCACTTGGACAAAGCTGCCAGAGTCTCTCATCCCTGCAGCACTTCTGGCATGCACTGGAGAAGCAAAAAAAAAAACCAGATCCCTAATCCAGAAGAGTGTCCTGCGCTTGCTGGATGTGACATCTCCCAGGCTCAGACCCAAACAGTGACTTTCCACCCAAACCTCAAAACCTTTGAGGGTGTCAGTGAAGGAGATGCAGGGTTGCAGGAGGACATGTCTCTGGGGACAGAAGGGAGGTGTGAAACCATCTTGGTCTCAGAGGTGAACTTGGTTGACAGTATCTGATACATTCTCAGCCCTTTTCTTCCCATCTGAAGACTTCCAGCTTCCCAGCTTGTTTCTCAGACACCATTTCTCCCAAGACTTCTTTTCAGCACTGTTCATTTTTGTCATCACTTGGACCTCATTCACGTTGAAACCACAAGAAAGAGAAGGAGCTCAGTCCCATCACAGCTAAAATTTTGCTCTGCAAATGAAGCTTGGTTGCCAAGTGAAAAGTTCAGCCCATCCTACAAAGCTCTGGCTCGATTTTGGGAGCAGAACTAAATATTTCCACAATACAGACCAGAACTATAGCATAACCAAGCCAAAGGAAAAACCAGCTCATCACCAGGTCCCCTGACTGGTTACCAGTGGTTTGTGTGAGGTTTTTGGAGGATGTGTGCAAAGCTCTTGTTACACTTATTGAGAAGATAAAAGAGTGTTCCAGTGAAGTTTCTCTTTTTACCGCAAGGAACCTCTTTTGTGAAGTTCCTGCTGAGCCCAAACAGCTTCAAAAAGAGGTATTTTTAGTACTGATAGAATTAGGGTAAAATTCAGATGTTTAATTGTGTTTAGCTTCTACAGATCATATTCAACATGAGATTCCTGGAGGTTTGGGTTGATTTTTGAAAGACTGCAAACTATGAATGAGTTTGTATAGAATCATAGAATGGTTTGGGGTGGAAGTAGCCATAAAGATCATCTAGTTCCAACTCCCCTGCCATGAACAGTGATGTTACTCACTAAATCAGGTTGCTCAGGGCCCCATTCAATCTGGCCTTGAACACTTCCAGGGATGGAGTATACAGAAAGGAAGGTTACACCTCTGTCCTAAAGAAATGCCAAATGTCAGATCCTCACTTCTGTATCACTGAGGCACCATGACACTCAATGAAGTAGTTTATTAAAGCCCCCCAAAAAAGAATAGGCAACATACTTTTCCTAAATCTCTTTCTTGGAACCCTAAAATATCTTAGGTGCACACTCAAAAAAAAAAAAAAAAAAAAAAAAAAAAAAAAAAAAAATCAAAAATAAAATCTCCAAACACAGACTGAGGCTGAGGCAGAGCTTGCTTGGCAGATTTCATCCCAGTTTAACATAATTCATTTCCAAACAAACTGAAAACCACAGTCTGGTAATGGAAAGCATTAGGCAGCTTCAACAAAAGGCATCACTGTCTCTATTGCCCATAATTAGATAGCAGAGCATAAAATGCACTGCATGGCTGGCTTAAGATCAATTCAAATCCCATGATGTCAAAATTATTCCTCAATATCCTCCAGCACATTGCCTGCAATCTGATTACTTCCACACGAGTGCTGTCCTTCCAGCTGCTCGAGCTGGTCCCAGGAACCAGCAAGGTGAATATTAAACACCTGGTGCGGATGGGGAGTGGTGAACTCTCCCCCACCCCTGGCTGCCTTACTCTGAGCAGCTCTGGGGCAGCGTGGACGAGGTGCAGTCGTAAAATCGAAATGAAGATTCCTCACTTAGCCAAGAGAAAAGGAGGTTACACTCTGCACCGTTCACTGACCTCACTCTTTTACTTACAGGGACCTCGGAGGCTTTGGCATCTTCACCAGCCTGAGGAATAAATCAACCAGCACAAAGCTCTAATGGCCCAGGCACAAGACAATAAACAGGTTTTTTTCCTAATGTGAGTAGGGGAGGGGGCACAGGAGGCCATGGACAAAGAGCTGCATTTCTTAATTGACTTTAATGAAATACATAACAAAGCTTCCTGTCCCTAATGCAAGGTAAGGAGCAGGAAAGGGGTGAGGTGACACATTGCAATGCCGTGGCTCAGCACTAAAACCAGGCTGTGACCAAGGACCAAACACCACACCTGTTCTGCAGCACCTTTTCTGCTCTGTGGGATGGCTAAATGACTCTGGCTCTGCACTTATATTGTGGTTAATCCATTAATCTACAGCCACAGAGTGTGTTACCACCAGCATCATCAGGTGGTGGGTGATGGAGGGCCAAGTGTTCCTATGGGGGGCACAGGGAGGCAAAAAGGACTGCACTGGTGAGATGTTGGCAGAAATGTCTAAAGTCTGGGAAGATTCAGCAGGTTCCCCTGTAACTTTACAGGTTTCCCCTGTAAATCACAAGAGCAGGGGATTCTGCAGAAGAAAATGGGTTGTGTTGCATGGTGGGGGTAAATAAGGGAAAAATATTATGAAGAGCAAGTGCTGCCCTCAAACATGGCTGATGATAAGATGGCATATGGCTGGAGAATAGAATTGCTTCAATATGAGCAACATTTCTCTCCTTTTTTGTAAACTAAACCAATTCTCTATTGCAGAAAACTACTACCCATGCTTTAAAGAAGTGTTCACAGAAGTGTCCACAAACAATCAGAGTTGGCTCCTTGTGGAACTGCTCTGGAGTTCAGCTCTACACCACGGTCCTGCAGACAGCAGTTGTATTTTCAAAAGGAAGTTTAGACCATGAAATCATCCTAAAGTGAAACAAGGAAGCTGAGAGGCTAAAACCTGAAAATCTTAAAAAAGCCCACATATTTGATCTTAAAAAACCCCACATATTTGCTAACTTTGCAAACAGGCTCAGTGTTTCCATATGTAATGTCATGTAGCTAAAGAAAAAAACATAATTTCCCATGAAATGTAGTAAAAAGTTTCTCAGAAGAGACAATGCTATACATACACACAAACACCTTTTTAGCTTAAAGAGTGTGGGATAATCCATGTTTGTGAACATCTAAGAAGTTGACATTTGTCTTAAAACAAATAATTTTTCTAATAATTAGTTAAAAACCTATTTTGTCACACTCAAATAACAAAACAGCCCCAGCTCTGATTTTTCCACTCTGAGCATTTGTAATCTGTCACTTTATAATTGATAATTAGATGAGACACACCAGAAACAGATACACAACATTTCATCTCTTAATGTCACACAAAAATAAAAAGCAGGGAGTTGTCATATGGCAGGAGACAGCTCTGCTATTTAAAACCTGATGCTTATCATGTTTGACGAGTGCCAACAGCGGCCAAAAAAAAAAATGATGTTGACGATTTCCGCAGCTACCAAAAATTGTTCCCTTTTTTGGCATCTTTGGAAAGGAATGTGACCTATCTAAAACTGTACCCCGGCAGGTCATCCTGCATTCCCAGGGCAAACCCATGCCCGTGCTGGGGGAGTTTGGGAGCAGGGATGTACTCACGCTGCTCGCAGGTCTCTCCCAGCCAGCCCGGGAGGCAGCGGCACGTGCCCAGGACGTGGTCACAGCCAGCAGCATTCTTGCACTTGCACACCTGGTGGCAGTCAAGCCCAAAGAATCCTTCTGGACAAGCTGCAAATGCAAAACATTCATTTTTAGCACAGTTCCTGTTTGGTTTTTCTGTGTAAACTCCAGCTCATCTTTTCACAGATGCTTAACAACCAAAGTTGCTTCGAGGGGCTAAGCCCGCACAATTCTGCTAGAAGCATCTTGGAAACATGTGACCCTTTTACATAAGCATCGGATTTCTGCACAGTAAAACATGGCTTAGAGTATTGAAAAGCCATAAAGCAAGTCAGAGAATGAAGCTGGGTTTACACAAGCTGGTACTTGTGCTTCTGTAACAAACAAAGGAAAAAAGAAATAATTCAACATAATGCGAGACTCCAGGGCCATCCCTGCTGATCTCCCTCCCTTTGGAAATGCAAAACTTCTGCTCCCATTTACTGTCCTGACACTTTTCTAAAGATTTTTTACAGCGAACATAAGCCACAGTGGTGCAGTTCAGTGCTGAAATGAAAAACTGGCAAAGTGAATGAACAGAGAAAACCAAGATGAATTAAATGTAGCAAAACAACTCCAGGGAGCCGAAGGAGCTCCATACCTACATCTGGGAGATGTAAGGAAGAGCAGCACCATGGGTTCAATTTATATCTTTACCAGTGCTGAAAGCAGTGAAAATAAGCATTGGTACTCGTCAGTGGGCCACATCATAGCTAAATGTTTCACTACAAGAGTGTTAAGGTTGCTATGTAGAGTTTAAAAAAAATAAAATAGCCTTATTTAACATCTCTGCATATATATGTGTGTGTCTAGCTTCTTTAAGTACCTGTATAATTATGTCTCACTAAGTGATAATAAAACTGTAGATACACAATTATGTGTCACTCTTTCCCCAGAATCCCTGAATCAGTCTCAGGAATTATGCTGCTATGAGATAAGCATAAGTTATTCAATAAAACTTATCTCTTTGTCCTCCTTGTCAATATAAACTTATATTTAAAACCAAATCCTCACACTTCTATCATGAAATCAGAACAACTGTCTTCCAATAGAGTCTTATGACAATTATTATCACATACACTACCCAACAACCCTCCACACTAATTTCACAGCTCTCAACCAGATCAGAATAACACTGGTTTCATCATAGAATGATTTAAGTTGGAAAGGACCTTAAAGATCATCTCATTCCAACCCCCCTGCCATGGGTAGGAACACATTCCACTAGACCAGGTTGCTCAAAGCCCCGTCCAACCTGGCCTTGAACACTTCCAGGGAGTTATCCATGTGAATCTTTCACTGTTGGACTCTTCAGTCATTTTCCTTGCCCTGTGTCTTCTCCATGCCCAGGTTTTTTGCCTCAGTCTGCTCATCCTGCCTCTTCCATGGATGCAGATTCTGTTCTCCAGCAGTGAGCTGTCTGCTTTGGCTACGAGTTGGGGGAATTCCACATCCATAGCCAGAGGCAAACCTGACCTTCATCCAGTGACAGCAGCAGTATAACACACTGAGCATCTGCTTTGGCTCCTCTATTCTCAGAGCTTCTGCTCAGCTTGCAACTACAAACCACTGTTTCATCTACTCAGAATCAAAAGGCTGCTCTTCCCTTTGTCCTGTCCAGAAAGATTTCAGGTTTCCCGCCCTTTCCAAGTTTGTGCTGCCTCAGGAAAACAGGAAAGAGCTTCATACCAGTGTAACACCATAATGCATCCATCAGCCTCTGCTCAAACTGCACTGGGAGAGAGCTGTTAGCAAGTTGTAAGGATGAGCCACCCATGTGTGGTTTAATCTTTCTGTCCCTATTTATTCTGCTTCAGCAGACAAGGACAGGTTTCTCCTGCTGAACCCTCAGTGACTTCAAAGCCCAACAAAGTTCTTTATTTAACGGAGGGACTACACAGCCTTGTCAGTTGTTCCTTGACATGCACAGTATTTATTTTCCCTTTTTATCTTATTAAAACAGCAATCTTGCTGGGCTATCTTATGACAATGATTAACGGCTGATATCTCAAGGGAGAAGTCCAGTCTGTCCATCCTGTGGCAGTGCTGATCAGTAGCTGAGATGCAAAAGCCAAGTGCTGTGCCCCACAAGGGCAATATGTTGCTGTTACTAATGCATCAATTAATACACATTCTGCAGGAATGGTCCAAGATTCCTGCTGCCTCCAGTTAGTGAACTAATTGTCTGGCATTTGGGGATATTTGGTCAGATGAACCAGTGAACTGAATAATTCTTGTGTTGGCCTGATTCCATAACTGGACACAGCCTTGGGTCACACAGCACATACCAGGGAGCAGCAGGGAATGGAATTAAACAAAATTACAGTGCAGTGAAGGCAACCCCAACCTTCAAAGCGAGAGCAGCAGATGCTCAGCACTTCACAGAATTAAAACAATTATAACAATTGCCTCCCCAAACAGGGGCAGCCCCGGTTCAGGGCAGGGTGACTCTGCTCGCTCGGCACATTTCTGACAGAGCTGGGAGCGTGGCTGGTGAAGGCAGGCACACCTGGATTCCTCTGGGTTTGCTGAACTGCCTGACATCAGGAGCCCAGGCTCAGGCTTCCTCCATGTCAGATGTTTACATTCAGTTGAAGCAAGAATTGATATATTTATCTAATTATCACAATAAAGATTGGTTTTGGAGTTGGGATTTTTTGATTTTTTTTTTTCCCCCTTGCCTGTTTAGCTGTAAGTGCATTAAAACCAAAGCCTCTCAGCAGAAGCATCTTTTCTGGAAAAGATGCTACTTAGGTTATCTGTGATTGAACAGGAGAAAGAAAGAACTTTACAAAGCCATCTTTGCCATGATCCTTGCCTTTGCACAGTCCAGGAACGTAGAGGCGTTAATTGCTACTTGAGTTCAGGACCAGCCAGAACTCCATGTGTGCCTCTGGTACCTTGTCCCCAAGCAAGTAACATTCTCCACCCAGATAAGGAAGGTATCTAGTGGCATTCCTAGTAGCATCTACCAAAAATGAATCACTTTCCTTTGGTAATGCAAGACCTTGTGAAGAAACATATATTATTTCATCGGTGTTCTTTTTGTGTCACTTGCTGCTCTCAAGAAAATTCAAAGGAAGCCTTTCCTAGATTGTTCCTACAGACTGAAAACATTTCTTTGTAGATTATTTTGTTTTCAGCCTTATTTGCAAACGTTACCTATTTTGCAGCTGAAACAGTTCTGCTCATTTTGCAACTCCTTTGAAATAGATTTGAAAAGATTCACGAGGTTCATTTTCACAGAGGATTGAGTAGGGGTGAAAGATGGAGGAGGCACGTCCCACTTTCAGAAATGTCTAATTTTCTTTCAGGAAGTGTCTCAATAGCTTTATTCTTACCCATCATTATTATATGTGACCACAGCACTACTGCAGGGGCAGCAGTATGAATGACACCAGATGAAGGGCAGCTGATCAAAGGTGACTCTGGGCAGAGCTGAACTGAGATGACGGGGGACAGACAAAAGTACTTTGAAGAGTGTGAGGTCTTTTGGCAGCTTTCTGTGGCCAAGGGCACAGAAGTTCAGTCACCTCCCAAATAATTCACAGCAAGGTCTCATGAAATAGCAGCCTGGAGCAAAGGTATCTCCTGCTATGAGTGAGCTTGGAAACTGTCTTGTGCTGGCAAATGATGATGATGATGGTGGGTGTTTGGCTGCTATCTGTATTACTGACAGGTGATATATGTAGGTTGAGACTTAGGAAGGACTAAAATTACATTAATTATTCTAATAAACAAGAAGAAGAGATTATGGAAATTTGTGGCAAATAAAGAACTTGGAAATGGTCACTGAAGTGGTGTTTTCCAACAGGGACTGGTAGGCTAACCTATGAAGCCCTACTTCATACTGAAGGTCATAAATTAATGAAAAGGAACAGGAGATTTGCTCCTACCTGAAGAAATGAAAACCAATTCCAGAAAACCCAAAGGCAAATTTTGGGACTTCTGCAGTTTCACCTTGAATCTTGATCCCATGCTGCCACAATGCAAAATACCAGAAGCAACGACTGCAGGTTCAAACACCCTCACTGTGCAGGGGTGATATTAATTATTAATATTAGTCAATATTAGATTTTGTAAGGGACTGCCCTCTCCTAGGGCTTTGAACTTCGAAGGCTGCAAAAGTCTCAGTTTCAACATCTCTGTGATGACGGAAAAGTCCTTCCCAGCCATGGGATAAGGCACCAGCAGGACGTGAAAAGTCTGAGGTAACACCGCAGTGCGGGGTGTCAATCCCTAAATTTGTGCCTGGGAGGCACAGAGCCTGGCCAGCGTGGGTGGATTGCCAAGAGGACGGCAAAAAGCACATCCCTGCCAGAAGGAAACCCTGCCAGTCTCCCAGTCACCAGAAACAGAAGCGCTGCAGCTCCTCACAGAAAAGGTGCCAAGAGGGTTCTACCAAGGGCAAACCACCCACACGTTTTCCTCCCTTGTCGTCTTTTGGAAGCAGCCAAACTGTTCTGGCTGAAATGTTTTATGTTAAAAGGTAACTCAGGTCAGCCCAGATCAAGCACTCTGCCTGCTTGAGAGAAAACATGTAGAAAACAGTGTTTTACGAATGGTAAGTGCTAAATTCCACTCTCCCCTCCACAATCTTCTTTCAGGAATTAAAAAAGATAAAAATGTCCAACATGACTGATTTGGAATGTGAGAGCTGGTTTTTTTTTTTTTCCCTATAGACGTCATATTCCTCTCACCTACTTTGGCAAAGGATATTTAGTTTCTTTGTCCCCATTATGATTCCTGCTGGAATGAGCAGATTTACACAACAACACAGACAAATGCTTTGTTTTTCCAATAAAAAATAATAATTAAAAAAAAACAGATTTAGGAAAACAGAGTTCAACTAAATCATAATAAAAAGGGGACATAATGGAGAAACCATAAATTACGAAGCGCTGTTTGCAGTAGAGCCTTGGAAAAAATATTTATTTTGTATAATAATCCCTGGCAAGAATGAAAAGGAAACAACAGGCAATGTGTGAACACAAGCCAGTGGGTGCTTTGCTATATTCCTGGTCAGGCTGTGGAGCATCTCCCTTCCCATGAGAGGGCAGCAGCTGCCTGCAAGTGCTGCCATTTCCCTCTGCTGTGGCTCTAACGCTGCCCTTGTAAACTGGCTGTAAAGCTGCTTTCTAAGCAAAACAATTGTGGTTTAAGGATCATAATTTGTGCAATCTTCAATCTTTTACACTTAAATAAGTTTCAGAGTGCCTGACTGACTATATGCTGTTTCTGTTGCATTTTTTTATGATCTGCACAGTGATGCAGCTCAACAGCAACCTCCTTTGGTGATGCCAAGGACTGACTTAACAATGTATTTAAGGAATCCAGTCCAACACTTTACCAAAGGACTAGGTGATAGAAGGTGATCTGCTGGATTTGTAAAGTCTAAAAGTATATCTGTTGTTAAAGAGTTCCACTGGGATGATGCACATATCCATGTTTTCCTCTTGATCGTTTCAGGGAGGCATGAGAAACAAGCAAGTATAAGGCTGAGCAAGCATCTTCCTGCTCAGAGCTCAAATAGTAGGACTCTGTTTAGGAAGAGCCTCCTTAAAGACGTGATACAGCCAGACCCTTAAGCATATATCTAATTTTAACCACGTGAAAATATGTGCCCAACACCAGGCACTCAGCAAGATGTTTTGTTGAGTTAGGATGGAAGCTCACATTTCGGTGTTGGTTTCCAAGTAAGTTCAATGTTTTATTTAAATCTGACATTGTAAATTTTAAAATCAGCTCTCTGAATTAAAAAAAACCCAAACAACCAAACAATAAAACAAAACCCTCTGCATAAACCCAAAAGGGACCAGAGGGAGCAGCAGTACCTCTCTCACAGAAGGTTCCTGTCCAGCCCGCTGTGCAGGCGCAGGCTCCGCTGATGTGGTCACAGGCAGCTCCATTCTGGCACTGACAGCTGTGCTCACAGCCCGGGCCAAAGCTTCCCTCGGGGCACCCTGCAGCACAGGAATCACAGCCACATGATGGGTTAGTGCTGCAGCAGATCAGGGATCAACAGGGAGTTTTGAGATACATGGGAAATCTTACTATTTCCAAAAGAAGAATCAAGGCATAATGGTAAGGGCTTAAAACTGAGGAGATTAAGTGTTCTCCTTGGGGTCTAGGTAAGTTGGGCTGGTTTTAAGATCCATTTTAGGAAAACACCACGGTGTTGAAAGACTAAATTCTGCGAAGAAAACTGACATCTTCTAGTTGTAAAGCCTGAGACTTCACGGGTTCTCCCTGATGACATTTTGCCCACTGGTCTGGAGTTGCTTATGTGCACATCTCCTCTGGGACTTCATCAACTGGGAGGGGAGAAGCTCCTCTGTTTTCCTGCAAATCCTCTTTCCCCAGAAAGCTGGAGAAAACATGAAATGTGGTGATTTCCTTCGGAAAGCTCCAAATTAAGTGCTGCACATTTTACTCTCATGCTCTACTTTGAAAAATTCAAATGAAAATGTTACATCTGGGGGACAAATTAACAACTACATTTCCACAGCAGTTAATGTAAGGAGTTACAAAAGATTTGCATAGTACTCACTACTGGAAGAAAGAAAACATTTGAGAAAGAAAATAATTTCTTCCAGGATTATAGGAAAATCAATTAAGAACAGGGCCAGTTGCCTAATTCACATTAGATATTTTGGACAGGCTGAAACACAGAGATACACTTGGCTAAACACAATATTACAGTGCCTCCACTCATTTTTGAAGACCATTCCTCTAAATGACTTAGGTAGATTATTGCCAGATCTCTTCTAGAAGCATATGATTTTAGTGTTTGCATCAACAAAGTGATTTTCAGGCAATCTGGAAAGAATCACAGAGAACAGAAAGCAATGAGGGTTCTCAAAGACAATTCTATACCTGAAATAAAGGAGTAGGTTTGGTGTTGCCTATTTGGTGCCATAGGTGGGCAGTGATGGGAGTTGGTGTGAATTCGGGTGCTCCTGCAGCTTAGTGACTTTATCCTAATTGGAGCCAACCCCTGTGTCTCTTACAGAGGAGTTGGGGTGGGAGGCAGGAGAATAGCAAGGTACCTAAAGTATTTCTTTCCTTTAAAACAGTCAAAAAACGGGCCGTCGTTTAAATATGAATATGTTTGAATGCATTGTTTGCACTTACAGGTGAAATTCAGTCCCCCCATTAGCATCCTCTCCTGCTCCCAAAGCTGCAGATCCCCGTGCATCCTGCTTCCCGTGCTAGTTCAACAAGTAAAAACACTGAAGTGCACTTGTGCCTTAAAAGCTGGATCTTTCTCAGCGTTTTCACTTGAAATTTCAGTCAGAGTTCAGGGAATTTATGCCAGGGAAATCACACTGCAGAGCAGCCACAGGTGTGGGGCTCTCAGCAGAGCTTCCTTTAAACCCACAATGCTTAGCCCGGAGCTGAGGCTTTCAAGGTGATGGCAAGGGGTCAGTACACTTCACAAATGATTTCACAGTCCACATCACAGAGAATCTGCCCCTGCCCGAGCAGGCACAGGCTGCTGTGATGCATGTTGAGATCCAGGCACCCCTCCAGAGAGCCTGCTCCTCAAGGGAAGGAGCCCAACCTGCAGGGAGAGGCTGGGGGTGCCTTGGGAGCAGAGGAGCTCTCCAGGGATAAAGATCTAACCTTCAAGGCAGCATAAAATGTTTAGGGAAGAATTATGGCTTTCAGAATCTTGCACACACACACAGAGATCTATAAATATATATACGCATTTTATATATTTGCGAAGCCTAGCCATGATGATGATGAGATATATATATATACACACACACACAAAGTGGGGTAAAAAGCAGACTTAATAAAACAAAAAAAACCCCATAGACAGAACTTTAGGGACTGCCAGATGTTTCATCAGTGGCTATGGCTTCACTGATTTGCTTGCCAGCCAAGATTAGAGCCAGCTATTTGGCTACTTTCTGTCTGCAAAGCTGCTATTTTGAGAGAGATCAAGAGCGAAAGAGAAGTGGAGCTGGCAGCTCTTTCTCTGGGAGCTGGTCTTCCCAACACATTGCCCTTCCACTCGCTCTATGCCAACAGCAACAAGGGCTGCAAGATCAACTTTCCAGGCTTTTTTTCTTAGGTCACAATTCCAGATTAATTGTTTTGACATTTCCATGTGACACCAGCAGTTAATCCTGCCTACGCTACTGAGACTCTGGTAGCTACATCTGTGCTACTGTAAGATTGTTAAACTAATAGATAAAATGTTTATTTTATTTAACAACATCAATATAATCAATAATAATAAGAGCAGCTCAACCATGCAACTTACTGCCACAAGATGAAGTGGACTCCAAATGCTTGCACGGAATGAAAAAGAAAATAGGCACATTAATTGGAAAAGAAAAAAAAATCAAGTTGTATTAAATATAGAGATACTGCTTCTGTCTCAAGAAGCTCCTGAATGACAAAGTGAAGAAACCTGGGAAGACGTATCAGGAATTACCTATAAGCTTGTTTTTATACACTTAAGGCCTCTGATATTGACCTCTGCCAGAGGTGAAGGTGAACGTGATGGGCCTCTGGTAAGACCAACATGCATTTTTGTTGTTAATAACCACAGGACTCTAAAACTTCCTTATTTTTCTTATGTTCTATACATGTGAAGCATTTCTATATGCCTGATCTTAAAAAGCGATTTATGGAGGAATAGTGCAGCCCTAAAACTGAATAAATAAAACCAATACGGAAACCCTTATGCCACAAACCAAACACGCATCAGTCCTATCCCTCACACGAGGTCTTAACATTAAAAATTACTGCAGAGCCCAGAACAGGTCTGAAAATACCTTTTCTGGAATTCAGATTAGGGAAAGGATCTAACCCCGATGAAACTCGAGAGCGCTGCGACGCGCCGGGCAGACCGGGGACGGCACAGCCCGGGGGGGTCCTTCCTGCAGGGGAATTAGCTGGAAAACACAGTTTCTGCCGCTCAGGTTTGCAAATTCCATGCGTTGACAGAGCGGGCACTTACTGTGCTCGCAGCGTGTCCCGGTGAATCCCGGCTCGCAGAGGCAGGAGCCGCTGACGGGGTCGCAGGTGCCGTCGCCGTTGCTGCAGACACACGAGTTCTCACAGCGTGGGCCCCAGCGGCCGCTGCTGCAGGCTGCAAGGGAAAGTGGGATTTGCAGGGGGAACCACCTTCAAACCCACCTCGGGGATTATTTTGCTTCTAAACGAGAGAACAGAAAACACGCGAAACGGTACAGCAGCCCTGGAGTAAACTCTCCGCTGCAGTGTGGGCACGAAGCAGTGGAAATAAAGACAGCTTTTGCTGACCTATTTCAGCTGAAAGAAGGCAGATATTATCCCGTATATGTAAAACTAACCATTGGTAGTCAATCCATACCAATCAATCCACAGCCACAAACATGTAATTACATGGAAATAAAATATCAGCTGTTGACTCACTAAACAAAAATCTGTCTAACCAGAATAGTTAATGGGTAAAACCAGACAGATTTGGGAGCACCCTCCATGATTTCATCAAAATACTGGGAAATGCAACACGGATATAGAGAAATCTCACAATGTTTGTTAAAGCAACTTATTACTTTCATTGTAAAAATCACATCTGACACAATCACGACAATGCACTGAGGCATCTCCTCTCTTTCATGTGAGTATAAAGATGAAAGTGTCAATTAGGGCAACAAAACCCTGGGTTTGGAGGTTTTGGAGCTGGGAATCTGTTTCATGGCCAGTCTGCAACTGCTGGAAGAGGTGCCTTGCCGAGACATCTCTGCAAAACAACTTTTCTCAGATCTTATACTGAATAGAAATGAAAGCTTTTCTCTGCCGTGATCTCTCAGTTCTTTAGACAGCCTTGGGAGTCTTGAAAAGCCATCTCAATGGCTCCACACACTGCCAGCTGGTTTGATTTTTAAAATACCCATATTGGTAGAAACTTCAGATTTTCCCAGAGTTTTCTTCAGCACAGAGCCTGAGAAGTCAGGTCCAAAACTTACTGCTGTCAACACTGGCAATCAATTTAAATGATTTTATGTGTTTAAGACCACATTTAGAGAGAGGTTTGTATTCCGTTGGCTTTTTGCAAGAGGCATCACAAGGAATCAAGCAGAATAGATGTGTCACAGGAAAAGGATGGAATCAAGCAGGATGGCTTCACATTTATATGGTGCCATCCAAAAAGGGTAAATCTACTCTCTTACACAGCCACCAATATGGAGAGTGATGCTAAAGTCAACAGAAGGATGCTCTGCTCTTCCAGAGAACAGAATTTCTCACAGCATTTATATTCCCAAGTTAAAAAGTGACCTTTAGACACATGACTCTACATGCCACTCACTTGTTGAATAAATCTCCCCCAAACAAAATGAAAAATGGAGAATTAATCTCAAAACTAATCTGCGCTGAAAATGAAAAACAAAACTGTCTGTCAGTCAAAAAGCTGACGGGACAGATGGTATTGGGCAAAGGGATCCATAGTGTTGAAATAAGAGCTTATATCAATACTTTGCGCTTCATCAGCCATCTATTTCAACGCTTTGAACCTGGATAATTAAGGATTATAACCACCCAGGCTGTGCAAACCCATAAACACACAATTTCAGAAGCAATAAGATTAACAAAACTATATTAGAAAACTGTAACAGACTAAGAACAAACGGAGCTGGTTCTTCCATGTGCAGTTGAGTCCCTGGGAGGCACCGTGTGCCCCGACTTACGGTGTTTGCAGCCGTGGCCAGTCCAGCCCGGGGGACACGAGCACTCTCCAGTGACGTGGTGACACTGGGCACTGCTGCCACAGCTGCACAGCAAGTGGCACTTTGGTCCATAGGAGCCATCAGGGCAGGCTGAGAACAGATGGGCAGACTGTCAATTCACCTAGGTCAGGCACAGACTGATCTTTCCAAACAGACAGCAACATCTCACCCCCTAAAACGTGATTTAGCCAAGTCTAGAAATCAAAATGGCAAGATGAAAGAAATAACTAATTCATACCCTGGGTAGGTGAGGCCAGGTCCTGTAATGTGGGAATAGCTTTTGGAGTGACTTTTGGGTACTTCTGTGTATCTGTCTTGCACAGAGGAGGAAAAACTGCTGAGCAAACCTTCCTTAAAATTCACTTTGTGACTAACAAGGATTAAAATACGCCACACTGAGGTCTGGCACAAAGTAGGGCTGTCCCTGAAAGCAGGGCTGTCTGTGCAGCACAAGAGCCATACTCAAGCAGCCTTTTAACACCCAGAGGCTGGATAAGCAGCACAAAACAGTTCCTTGAGTGTACTCCCATGGTCTCTAGCTGCAAGGACAGCCCTGATACTAATCTTTCATCCTCACTATTATTTAATCCTAAATTATATACATTAAAGAATGCTGCTGAAAACATAACCCACATGATGCCATACAGGCCAGCTGGTCAGCACCTCCTGCCAAACAGCCAGGATTACAATGCAAGTGTTGTGTTTATTAAGCACTGTATTCCTTAGTACAGTTTGCCATAAATTAGGTCTAATGATAACATCCTTTTGGGATGCAGTTTAGCTGGTCATCTGCATTTATCTGCAATCTCCCTCCCATAAATAATGTCCGGGGAATTCCTGAAGCTGAAGGGCACTTTATTTTGGATCAGCACGTTGCATCTCACAAAACAACAAAAAGGTAGAAATCATTAAATGAATTTTCAATCTGACTTTTCATGGGGAAGGCTGATGCAAGGACTTACTGTCAGAGCAGGATACCCCAGTGTAGCCAGGGGGACAGTCACAGGCTCCAGTTTCTCTGTTGCACTGTCCCCCGTTGGCACAGGGCTCACAGGAGGACTGGCAGTCTGGTCCCCACCACCCAGCTGGGCAATCTAGGGAAAAAATTACATAAGGTGTCCCCAGTGCCATTTTCTGTTACAGGACAATTACAGATTTCTGTAGAAGAATTTAAAAGTACCAGTAAAATTGAGCTGGATTGTTATATTATCTCTACAGACCTACAGCCCTGTCACAGTATACTGCAGCACGTGAGAACTCAGCTAAAGAGAGACCCAAAGGCTCTCTCCCAACTTCCATCACTGTGTGTCTGTTTATTAGTTTGGTTTCTGACACAGTAATGTCAGGAGTATTTGGATGTATCTGAAAAATTAATTACTGCACTCAGCAAAGGAGATCTCCAGAGGATGGTAATCTGCAGGAGGGGAGGGCTGCTGTTGTATTTTTGCTGGGCTGAGTGGGGGTCTGGCTGGTCATACAGCCCAGAGGGACTGGATGTGAGCTGGAGCCCAGGTCTCCACACAGCTCCACCTCCTTTGTGCTCTGTGGAGTAGTGAGACACAACCTGGGTCCAGCAGATGCTCCTCAGGTGTGTGACAGCCAGAGCTTTGAGAGTGGCCAGGGTACAGCCCATGTCTCAGTAGTTCAGTGTCTCTGAGACTTTTCACATCCCTTTACTTAATTACTCACAATAATACTGTCCTTTTTAATTACTTCCTCCATTCTAGGTTCTTGCTGGTTCCATGACAGCTGTTTTTGGCCAAGGCCCCTCCACCGAGACACCCTGTGTGCACATGGCAGCACAGTCCCAAGTTCTGCTCTGGGACTCCGAGCTGCTGCAATGCACCAACATCTCTGCCCAACTTGTACAAACCCAGCCCAACATACAAATCACTGTTATTAACTGGAGCAGAGGGGTATGGGGCAGGATAACTGAGCCACACCACCTCTTTTCCAAGCAATTCCATGCAGTGGATGTCACCTGTTGTGCACCAAGACTGATCCTTTACCCGTTCTGCAAATGAAGCACATTGCACTGCAGCAGTTTGGGTGGGAGACAGAGTGATGCCACATCTTATCATGTCTTCCAAAGCAAGGCACTCATCACCCTGGTGCAACACACCTTGCTCACACGTAGCACCAGTCTTCCCAGCTGGGCAAACACACTGCCCTGTCTTTGGATCACATGGTGCTCCTCCACAGTTGCACCTCTGCCTGCAGCTCACCCCAAAGCTCCCAGGTTGACAAGCTAGGACGAAAGAAACCCAAAGACCTGGTTAGGAAGCATTTTGAAGACATTAAGAGGCGCCACCACCACCAATTTTTAACTGAGCTGCCCTGGTAAAAGTGATCAATATTAGTGTTAGTGTCTCAGCAACTGGTGGTCTGTAATTAACTGCAACAGAGCTGTGGAAAATTCTGTGCCTGAAGCTTTAAAAGCAGCTACAGTTACCTGGACAAATGCTAGTTTTAGTAACTGGCCTCAGCCTTGTGCCTCGGCCTTTGCGAGCAGGGGGAGAGAGCATTTGCCAGGCTCCAAATATCACTTTGGTTTCAGTGGGGAACTGCCAACTCATATCAACAACAAATGTGCCCTTTTATTTGCAACTTTTATATCTGAACATAAGTTTCCTGGATAATCTTTCCCATCCAAAGTGCATCTCCCAGGGAAACATGCAGTGAGTACCTACATAAATGGCATTTTTCTCCATGAAACCCAGGTGGACACAGATGTTTGCAGACTCCTGTCTCAGGATCACACAAAATATCAGGAGGACAGTTGCACCTCAGCTTGCAACCAGCCCCATAAAAGCCAGGTGTGCACTCTGGAAATGGAGGGAGACAGAGAACATATATAAGAAAAAGGAAGAGTTAAGAAAACAGAACTAAAAATCAGAAAACATAATGTATGTTTTAGAGGTGGTGATAACAAAGTATAAATACTTAATAAACATTTGCGTGGACATTTCACAGAGGTTTCTGCTCATATATAAGCCAGAAACAGAGTGGCAGAATACTTAATTAAATTGTAACTTATTCAATTAGAATACTTTAGGATATATTCAATTACAGCCATTACAGAATTCTCTTATATGCCTGTACATTCTGCTGCTCTCTGCCTTGCTGCAAAGCCAGTGCTGGGTAAGGGATGCTCCCTGCCAGAACTGAGCCCATCACCAAGAATGCTAAAAATATTAAATACTGTCACTATTGTTCTCTACCAAACCCTCAGAACCAGTGCCATCAATCTGTCATGTTCCTGTCTGCCCAGAGAAGAAACCCTATTGCTTTACTCCATTGCTGTCTGGAAAGGGCTACTGAGACATGCAAACATGAATGTGGAACACAATTCTCTTTGAACTACCCCCCAAAAACTACAAAGAGGAAGTTTGAATTCAAAGGGCTGCAAATCTGAAGGAAAAGCAGCATTGCTGAACCCATTTACAAATCACGCTGCTGCCACAAAACACGAGGTTTCCCACTTATTTACTGTCTGTGTGGAAAAAGCAAAGAACAAAAGTGAAAACTCCCACAATCTTCATTATTTAGGGCTGTATTAGAATTTTGGTTCCGGATTTCTGTTGCTGTTTGATCAGGCCAAAACTCCTGCATTCTTAAGCTGTATTCCCCTTGATGTTCCTGCAACCCTGTGCCATCAGGGCTAAAAAAACCCCACACTAAATTATCAGTAGAATATGACTATATTAGTAACAGCAGCCAAACAAAACAGATGGGCAGAAGAATGAGAAATTACTAGGATAAAGGAATAAGCAGAGATGGGGAATCTGGCTTTCCAGGGTACCTTTCTGACACTTCTTGCCGTGATACCCAGGCTTGCAGGTGCAGGAGCCGTTCCTGGCGTTGCACTCCAGCGTGTGCTCCTTCACACACTGACACTCCTCTGAGCAGCCCGCTCCGAAGGCCCACCTGGGACAGGCTGCAGCCAGATGAAAAGGAGCCATTAGCTCTGTAATTATGCAGGAGTTGTTTGGAATTGCACACCGCTGCAGAACGCCACTGCTGCAAGAAGCAAAAACGCTCACTTTGCTCTCAGCGAACGCGATCCCCGTTCCTGTGGCAGCGCCTGCTCGTGTGTGGGTGGGCAAAATAGACTTCACATGACTCCTGTGTTAAGTGACTCATTTCATGTCAAGCAGCATGTGAACCAGAAACGTTTCAAAGCAAACTTAACTAAGTTTCTGAATGAAAAAATATTTGGGTGCGCTCCGAGATAAAAGCTTTCATTAAAAAAAACAAACAAAAATAAAACAAAACACAGAAGATTTTCAGTCTTGGACAGATTTTACAAACAAAACCTGTAAGTAGAACGAAACTTGCAATGTTTTTGTTTTAATTCCTTTTTTTCGCCATTTAACATTTTGCCCTCATCCTGCCTCTGCTCCTCAGCTCCCACTCCAACCATATTGGCAGCCCCTAACCAGCTCCAACCAGGCTCTAACCTCAGCAGTAACCCTAATGTTAACCTGCCCACCCCAACCCAACCCTACCTGTAGTCCTCACCTTTGTGTGTCAGTAAATCTCTGTCCTTATGGCAAAGATTAATTGCTAGAGGAAAAGATTAATGAAGTTTTTGGGGCCTCCTGACACATGTCAGAAGTCCTGTCCTCCTGCTCCCAGCCCATTGCAGAACCCAAAGCCTCACTCATTTTATCACAGAATCATAGAATAGTTTGGGTTGGGAGGGACCATAAAGCCCATCTAGTTCCACCTCCTGCCGTGGGCAGGGACACCTTCCACTGGACCAGGTTTCTCCAAGCCCTGTCTAACCTGGCCTTGAACACTTCCAGGGATGGAGCAGCCACAGTTCCTTTGGGCAACCTGTGCCAGTCACCACTCTTGTAGTAAAAAATTTATTCTTAATGTCTAATGTAAACCTTCCCTCCTTCAGCTTAAGGCCATTTCCCCTTGTCCTATTACTACTTTCCTATGTAAAAAGTCACTGTCCTCCCTTTTTGCAAGCCTCCTTTATACAGTGTGGAATCTTTCAAGACTATTACATGGGGTGCGCATTAAGCAGATCCGAAAAATGCTGGGGACTTACTGAGGTGGCAGAAGCGCCCGTAGAGCCCGGGGTCACACAGGCAGGCTCCATAAAGTCTGTGGCAGTAGCCCTTGTTGGCACAGCTGCACGGCTTGTTACAGTTCTTCCCAAAGAAACCCTTCGGGCAACCTTTGGAGTGCACAAACACAGCAAGGAATCAGCTGCCAAGGGTTAAAACCCCAGCTCCAAATCGGTTTGCTTTTAGCTGGTGCTACAGAAAGCCCAGGCTGGCTGGTGGTTGACCTGCAGTGGCTCACCAGCCACTTGCTTTTTCTCATGCACTGTTTTGCTCATTATTTAAAAAAAAAGAAACAAGGGGGGAAGAAATGGAGATGCTTTGGGTACAGATGGGGCCGTACCGTCCTCGCAGAGCCGGCCGTGCACTCCGGGCGGGCAGTGGCACTGCCCCGAGCCGGGGTCACAGGAGCCTCCGTTCTGGCACTTGCAGACACCAGCACAGCCTCTGCCATAGGTCCCGGGGGGACAAGCTGTGGAGAGAGCAGGGAAGGTGAGCAGACTAAGAAATCCTTCCACTTCACTGTAAAGGAAGTGAAATAAGATTTCAGTCATCAAAACTGAGCAAGGAGAGAGTCCTTTTAGTCCAGTGGGCTCTAAACAAAGTCATATTCTTCCTATATAAGGCAATGGACATCCATCTGGCATTTACTAGAACATTTCAAAGGACACCCCAAATAATCAAGCTTTGTGAAGTACTACATCACGCATCCAACCTTCCCCTGCATGTGCTCCCCTCCCCACAATTCCAAAACCATTGCCTGTCAAGTCCAGAGCTTAAAAATCAGAGCACAGCTTTGAATATTTGGAGATAAAAATTTTAAACATTTTTTTTTCCCCTCTCTCAAATACTATTATGAAAATAACGCTGTGTTTTTCCAACACAGTCTCTGAAACTGCCCAGATGATCAAGGCAGCAATGGGGCCACAAAACCAAACTGTGAGATGAAGCCTCACACCACTGTTGCAGCCTGAGCTGCCTGAGTGAATACAGTTGCTGGAGTCATCTGACTTAACTGACATTTTATCAATGCACATTAAGAAAGTTGACATTTCACATCAATTTTCATTCAGCTTCTTTGGTGCGTTATTAGAGAAATTTAGTTGCAGTTTTCTCAACAGTTTTAGCTTACCCCAAACCCAGGAACTATTCTGTATATTAAAAAAGTAAGAGAAAAGACTGAAAGCAATCACTTATGGCTAATTCGTACAGATTAAATATTGTATCATCACTATCAATGCCTATTTTGCTGGACTGCAGGTTTGGCTCAATAACACAGTCCTATTAAAGTTCTTTAAATTCCAGAGGTGAATTCCACCGGTGGATATTGACTGTAAATAAACACCAAAAAAGTTATTATTTATAAAAATAACTAAAGAATTTATATTCTATTTTGAGATTTTTATAATCTATCCTGAATCATCGGAACACCAGGAATAGAAAAATATGCTAATTTGATAATTTGATATATTTGATAATTGATAACTGTCTTAGGGAGGCTGGAAATTATCATTTTAATCCTCTCCATTCTTATTCTCTCAGCTGTCCCCAGTGTTTACAAACCAAACCCATCATCAGTCTCCCAAAATAACTATGGGCAGACTGTTGGTTTCAATCACTTGCTGGATTTTCTATATTTCTGTCCTTGTGATGACGCCTGATAAACAATCTTGATGGCAATTAACCTGAAGATTGCTGTCTACTGATGTCAAGTAATAAATTTTCATCGACTCTTTGTCTCACCAGTGACAGCACAGACTTTCTGAGTATGATGGGCCATCATATCACACACCATGAAACAAAGGAACTCATCTCAAAAGCACAGGAAATCTGCTCAGACAAGCAACAGACAAGTTTTGCCAAACTGCAGATGAAAAACAGCGAATCAAGAAATCACCACTCTCTTTCCAGTTGGTTTTGACACATACTTCTGAATCAGAAAGATCTTCTGCCAGGAAGCAGGAATAAGAAGAGCGGAAAGCTATTATAAAGGGCACTGACTTGGCAAGAGAATTCTGAAAAATACTATTTCCAATATGAAAAAATAGTCATCCCAAGAATATGATGTTGATAATAAAAAGAATTATAAAGAAAAAAAATGGAAAAAAAAAGAATAAAGACAATGTCTTGGGATGCTATGATGGAAAAACTGAAGTTTAATGTACATGTCCACCCAGATTGTCACACCAGCTGCTGGGACAGACTTCTGAAAGTCATCGAGGCAAGTTGTGGAATGAAGCATGGCCGGCAAACTTTGGCAGTTATTAGCAGCAGAGTGAATGAAGAGCAACCAAATATTTAGGAGGGCTATGATGCTGTCCTGTACTGGAAGGCAGGGACCTCACTCTGAGGGTTTGCATTGTGTCCCACAGCATCCCTTACAATTTCCATTTACTGTGCCCCAATACAATACAATTTTGATGTGCTCCTTAGAGAGTTTTGCAGATTAGAAGTATGACAGGTTATGCTTATTTCCCACCTGCAGTGTCCCAACATGAGGACCAATTGCCCACCTCTCAAACCCTCTGTACTCACTCTGATTGCAGATAACTCCAGTCCAGCCAGGGGGGCAAATGCAGCCGCTGTGGTCGCTGTCACACCAGCCCCCGTTCAGACAGTCCTCACACCTCAGGCTGCAGTCGTGGCCAAAAGTGTTATCAAGGCAAACTGAAATGAAAAAAAATACACAATGCTCAGTGAGCAGCCAGACAAAATGCTTCCACACAAGCTCTTACCTATTGTTAGGTTGCAAATGCCACCAATTCAGTGCACAAGACAGTCCAAAACAGAGATGCCTGAATTTTCCTCTTCGAATTTTGGACTCTAAGTAAAAGGGAAGCTGGGAGTTTAGCTGGAATTTACCCCCTAAAACACTGTAATTCCCCAGCAAAGAGCACTTCAAGCTACTTCTTAAGAGCAAATATTTTGCCTTCAGAGAAGTGAATTTGCACCTAATGCTTAATATTGAATTTATTGAGAGAGACTCTCCTTCTCTCCTTGCTAGGTTAACCCTGTTGTTCTACTGGAGTAAGTGGATGTAGTGCTATTTAAATATTGTTCATTGATATTTTTAACAGCATAGTTTGAGTGTTATTCTAGGATAACAAAGCAAAATACACATTTATCACTTCCTTTTTTCTTCATGGATATGAAAAAAAGCAGTTAGTTTATACAGGAAACCTTATATGAAAATGCATTCCTCCCTCCCCTTCTCCACTCTCCTTTTCTCTCTTGCACCCTCATGTTCTCTTTGTGGGGTCTATCGAGAAAAACATAGAAAATAAGTGTTACTGTGATAAAATACCTCAGTGGCATTAAGATCCCATCCACATGGTCACTTTATTGCCTTTGAGGCTTTGTGGCTGTGGCTGGAGGCTTTTTGGAAGGAGACTTTGAACAGCACCTGAAAGCGAGCTGGCAGCTTATTACAGCCTCCAGTAAGTCACAGGCTGGTTGCTTTTCACCAGCAATTTTCTATGTGAGGACAGATTTCCTCTAGGTCTGAGCACCCAACTCTTAGTTCCCTTTTCTGCAGCTGGAAAAATGCCCAAGCTTTCAGAGACATTCAGAATCCCAGTGCTCCCACTTGAGACAGGTTACAAATTCATATTTCAGCAGAAGAATACAGATTACCATTAAAAACATTATGCTTCCACATTAAAAAGTCATTCAAGCTGTAGAAAATATTTAATTACTTACACCAGCTTATTGATAAAACATGATCTTTTTGTAATACAGATAGCAGCTCAAAAAATATGTCTGAAAGTATAAGCAATAAATTACTATCTGGGAGATAAAAGAATCTACTAAACCATTTAAAGTTCTATTTCTCCATCACCTTTTCCTACAAACCACTGTGTGCTGCAAAGCCTCAGCCTTAGAAAAAGTGCATCTTCTCAGCTATGAGTGATAACACCCAAATTTCTGTGGTTAAATATAAATAAAACATGCAAAAAGTGGTCAATAAATATTTGATTGTGGTTTCTAGGCCTGATAATTTTGCCTGTGGTTATCTCATTTATCAGTTTCCCAATTGGTTATCGGTGTCGCTGAGTCCGGCTGGATGCTGTGTGATTTGGGGGGGGTCTTAACAGTTTTGTTCATAAAAACAAGTTAATTTTTTATCAAAGTCAAGACCAGCTCCTGATTTTTGCCTGTAGGGCACAGTCCTCAGATGAGTAATTAGGGCTTCTATAAAAATCACAGGACACACAGAGGAAAACCAAGAAATCTCACTTGTCCCTGGTGACCCACCAGCACTCAGCACGAACCAAACACAGAGTTTCACCTCATAATAGTCTTTCAGTGGTGAAGTTTCTACTTTAAGGTGGAAAGACTGAAGTCATGCAAAGCCCAGGTGGGTTTGCAAAGTTGCTCTGCACCCACTCCTGTGACAGTGGGTCCTCCTGTGCTGTTCATCACCACTGGTGCTGAGCCCTTGGCCAGCCTGAGCAATATGTGGATGGGTCTGTCCTTTTCCTGGAGAACATGCCCAAAACATCAAAAGACACCTGAGTCTTCAGAGGGTTGTTTATTTCACAAACAAAAATGCAAATATCTTAAACAAAAGTCCTCCAGTTGTTATAAAAGGTTTGTAAACAAGGACACATGCTGCCCCCACACTCCCTTTCCCAGTTCTAGGAGAAAGGGAGCATTTCCCAAGGGATTTTGTACACTCAGTAACCCACACAATCTTCACCCTCGGGATGAAGAGATCTCTTTGGCTGTTACCTCTGGGGCTCTGTGCGGACATCCTGTTTTCCAAGCAGCCTCCCAGTCCTTGCTTGCTGTGCTGCTCACTTTTCCCCTGCAGCTCCCCCATATCCCTCCCCACTGCATCCAGGCAGCCTCCCAGTTCCTCAAAAATGTCCCATTTGGGATGGGACACAGCCTCATCCCTGCTGGCACGGAGACAGGCAGGAAGCAGGATTAACGCCCATCCCAACACTCGAGCCCAGCACAACTCTCGCCCCAAATCCTCTTTCCAAGACTGTTCCCCCAGTTTGCTGTGGTGGCTCAGAGCACTCAGGGCACTCACCGACCCTGTGCACCAGGGTGAGCTCTCCTCGGGGGTCTTCATCCTCGTAGAGGGCCCCGAGTGCGTAGCGGAGGAGCTGGGGGGGACCTCGGAACTGCAGCCCCGGAGCACCAGCGAACCCCACTGCCTCGTCTGCATCCACCTCCTCCCCACCTAGGGCTGACAGAAACACACACCATCAGCACCTCAGTCTTCCTCCACAGCACTTTCCACTCATTTACATATTTTTAATTATTATTATGACACTGGTAGGTTTTCCAGCGACACCCCTGTTCAGTTTGCCCAGCGGTCACAGCCAAGTCATTTTCTCACCTGGACTAACAGAGTTTCTGCTACCCAAAAAAAAAAAAAAAAAAAGAGAAGAGGGGAAACCCCCCTCATCTTTCCATTTTCTTTTTTCTGGAAATAAACTCTGGTCCTGGTGGATTAAAAAAAAAAAAAAAAATTAAACGAGGAGATTAATTTTCCTCACTTGAAGTTTGAGATTATTTTTAGTTAATGAAGGTCATTACTCTTGCTCGTTTGGGAGATGACAAATAGAGAGTCAGGCTGGCTGTGCAATTTATTTTCAGAAACACTAAAATTTGAGTCTTAAAATGACGAGAAATCAGTTGGCTTTCTTTTTGGTGTTGGTTGCAGTATCAAACTCTGCCCAAGCTTTAGCAGGTGCTAAACTTGGTTATAAAACTGAGTTGCTTAGCTAAACTCTGTACTGGTTACACTGGCAGAAATCCAGCCTCACACCACTGACTAATGGAAAACTTGCCGTGGTTGATCAAAGCAGAATCTGGCTACCTTTTCTTTTCCACAGGATGTTAAACTTCATCAAACAGTGAAAGAAAACTGTCAAAACACTATTTATTTCAAAAACATGAGCATTAGGTTTTTGAGCATGTCCAGGGTATTTAAGTGTTCATCTCCCATTAATCTTTGGCAAAACCCATTACTGGAGGATGAACTTGGATCCACTCACTGCACGTAGCTCTACCCTGGCCATGGTTCAGAGATGGCTCCAGTTGGGTTCCCAAAATCCCAGGATCTGTGAAAATCCCAGTTCCAAAATCACATTTTGAATACTTAATGGCCCTCAAGATATAAAAAGAACTCACCGACACAGGCCCATCTGTTATCACCGAGCCTGTACCCCTCCTTACAGGCACATTCGTATGACCCCAGGGAATTAACACAGAAATGGTCACAGTTGCCATTATCCACACGACATTCATCCACATCTAGAAAATCCAGATAGAAATGGTGATTAGGAGCAAGTACCACACTGTACCTGGCTGCACTGGACAGATTGCTCTGCACATAAGAAAACCTAATTTTCTTTGTACTTTGGGTTTGAAAATACTAGTTTCTCGCTAGTATTGGAGATATGAAAACATTTTAGGGCAACGTGGAACAGATTATTTTGATGTTTTTGTTTCAAGTGCAAACAGCTGCTTTAAGTTGTTAAGCCCAGTTGATCCTTCAGTTATTTTGAGGGCTCTTCTTTTGTGGGAGTCTTTAACACACATTAGTATACAGTGTCCATGGAGAAAGGAGGAAAAGTTCCTCTCTGCTGGCTCATCTCTCCTATCCCCTCTTTGCCATGCTGAATGCTGGGTTATTCCTATATTCCAGCCTCATAAAGAGGAAATTACACATTTGTAAAACCTTATCAGCAAAGCTGGCAGAGGGTCAGCGATTCTCTCATTAGGGCAATGCCTACAAAGCCCTGCAATGGGCTTTGACAGCATTTCTTCTGCCCTTGGTTGTGCTTAGTTAGATCGAGCCTCTGGTATCAAAGGACTTTTGACAAGGGCATGGAATGATATAGAACAAGTGAGAATGGCTTTAAATTAACAGAGGGCAGGATTAGATCAGATATTAGGAAAGAATTCTTCCCTGTGAGGGTGGTGAGGTCCCGGCACAGGTTGCCCAGAGAAGCTGTGGCTGCCCCATCCCTGGAAGTTCCTGATGCTCCCATCAAGGCCAGGTTGGACAGGGCTTGGAGCAACCTGATCTAGCTGAAGGTGTCCCTGCCCATGGTAGGGACGTGGGAATGAGATGATCTTTAAGTCCCCTACAACCCAAACCATTCCATGATTCCGTGACTCACCGTCGCAGGCGCAGCCGTCGGCGTTGAGCTGGAACCCCCCTTTGCAGGCACACTCGTAGCCCCCTGCGTAGTTGATGCAGAACTGGGAGCAGCAGGACTCCCCAGTCTCACACTCATCCACCTCTGCAAGGAAAGGGCAGCACGTTTAGCTCTTGGACACAGTCTGAGCTGCTGCCACAGTTCTGCTCACGGCTACTGTGCTTCAGCAGACATCTTTCTATGTCTTCCTCTCACTTCACCCACCCAAAGCACTGTTTGAATCCTGAATCCTGACAGCAGCTGTCTTCTACCTTCTCCCATAGCAGCCAACACCCTTCATGTCCAGGGAGAGGCATCTCCTCCACAAGTCTCAGCTGCCACGAGGTGATTTACAGAACACCAGTTGGTCTCGCTGGTGACCAGCAGTAGGACCCAAAGGAACAGCTGGAGCTGTGTCAGGGGAGGTTTAGGCTGGATATTAGGAAAAGGTTCTTCACCCAGAGGGTGTTTGGGCGCTGGAACAGGTTCTCCAGAGCACTAAGCCTGACAGAGCTCCAAGAGTGTTTGGATGACACTTTCAGGCATTTGGTGGGATTCTTGGGATGTCCTGTGCAGGGCCGGGAGTTGAACTTGATCCTTGTGGGTCCCTTCCAACTCAGGACACTCTATGATTCTATGAAAACAGACCACAGCTAGGACCCACCAGCCCTCAAATACCTGCTCTTTAGCAGTAACCTACATTTAACCACTTGGACTTTACATTTACCCTTATTCAATGCAAACTAACAGTGAAACAATGCTCTGATCCAACAAGGCATTTTACTGGACATCAGCAGCTGGTAGGGGCAATTAGAGCCTTTGTTAACTAATTGCAGTTTTGATAACTAATTGTCTGTTGCCTCATCCTGCTCTGTGTTCACCCAGAAGTTGGTAGCATTGACACCCCTGTTCTGGTGATTAGACACAAGAACTGAGCTGTTATCTTTGCACTGCAGGCTCCTGGCTGCTGTCAGCCCGGGCAGGCTGCTGAGCAGGTCAGTGGCCATCCAAGGGCCACCTTGTCAATGCTGAGTCTGCACAATGCTTCTGAAGGTTGCCCAGCTGAGCAGCTGCAGATGGGAGAGGTCAGTGTCTCAATTAACCTTGGAAGGAGCACCAACTTTATGAGGAAACATGGGCAGGAGAAAGAAAATGTAATTAATCAATTGAGGTGAGGAGGTCACTGTGAAAATGATTAATGCAGGTTATTTGAATGCAGTGTTTTCCAGAAACGTCACAAGCTGAGCTCCCCTGCAGTATGTCAGGTGATGCTCTGGGGTCCAGCAACAGCTCCGTGTTTGTGTAGGAATACAAAACATTCATCCAACAAAAAGGAGATTTTTGCTATTAAGAGCAACTTTCCATGTCCTCAGCCTTGCCAAACCCTTCCTTTGTGCTCTCCCTTCCCTTTCTGTGTCTGGAGTAACAGCTTCCCTCTGAAATCCCCATCAGGAGGCCACTGAGCTGGGATGTGGGCAGGAGGCTGCTCTGCTCCTGTCAGCCATAGACAGACAACACTGTGTAACCCACCCACCTCTGTGAGGCTCTGGCTCCAAATTTGCCTCCCAGACCTTTTTAAGTTTTGCTTTTGAAGCTGCATCATCACCCACCTTTGCCTTCCTCCTCCCCTGCTCCTCTCTCTCCTGCACTTGGCTTTTTTCCTTGCAAGACTCATTTTGTCTGTAATGCCTCTCACTCACCAGTGCTCCCACTCTCTACCTCTCATGTCTTACTACACTGCTTTGTGATGCCTGCTCCTTTCCCTCCACCTCTCTTCTTGGCTATTCTTGAAAACTTTATTGGCTTAGTGACAGCAAGTCAAAACCAGAATGAGATGTAGTTTGCATTACAAATGCCATAAACAAACAAACAAACAAAAACAAAAATACAAAAAAAAAAGAAAAAAATCACATAATAAAATTGCTCAAAACATGAATTTTTAAGCTCTTCTCTTGAAGTAAACCCAAAATAACTATATTGCTTTCACTTCCCAAGTGAGACTTCTCACAGCCAGAAGTGCAATCTCATCACTGAGTAAATCTGATGGAAACACAACAACCTTCATATCACAAAGTGAGGTTTGTGCATGAAGCACTTCAGAGCAGCCGTGTTGCTGCTCCCAGCCACAGCCAACCTCTTCCCAGCCACCGGCTGAGAAGGGAAGGAAAATCAAGTCAAGTCAGGGCTGCACACAGTGAGAGATGGCCATGGCAACTGGTGATGCACCAGTGTCATCTTCCATGTGGGAGGCAGAACTCCTTCCCCTCGTTAGTGAACAATCCCAGTGAACACGCGGAGCAGGGCAAGCTGGAGCAGCGCCGAGGAAGCGCCAGAGGACGACACTAATTAACACTTGCAAAAGAAGGGAAGGTATTTCCTAGAGCGACAGCAACCCTTGCAGAGCACCCCACACCTCCTGTCTCCCTGGATTACCCGTGCAGGTCTGTCCATCCATGCCCAGGCGATATCCGCTGTCGCAGGAGCAGCGGGGCCCCGCGGCCGTGTGCTCGCAGTGGTGGGAGCAGCCCCCGTTGCCCTCCTGGCAGCTATCGACGATTTCCATCTCGATGCCTTGCAGAGAAATAAATCAAAAGGATGTTAAAAAGCAAGCCCAGGGGGGGAGTCACTGGAGAATCAGCCTTCTGTAAAACAGCAGCCACGAGCCGAGTGCTGCAGCAGGGAACATAAACTCAGCTCCCTCACACGTCCCAGAAGAGCACGCTTTGGAATCACTGAGCTCTGGGTGTTTGTCTCCATGTGTCATAACAGTGGATTCACTTGACTTCAGCAACGTGAAGCCAGCTCAGCATTCCAGCAGCCTGCCTGCTACAGGAGCCTCCACAGGTTTCCTCAGATTTATGCTTTGTTTGGACACAATCCTTGCCCCAAAGGAGGAAAAGAACCATCTGAGGAGCCCAGGTGGTCCATCTCAACCCAGTCTGCTTGTGCTTTCCAAAGAGCAGCTTCTAGATTTGTATGGGAATGGCAAAGACTTGGATGCTGAAACATCCACCAAACACAAAGGCATTAAAACTTCCATAGAAGAGTCTCGCTGGTGAAGTGGGCACCCAACTACAATACAGAACAATCTGCAGGTTTTGGCCCCCGGATGTCCTTTCCAGCATCATGGAGCACCTCCTCTGCTGAGACTTTGTCCCCCAGAGCTAATACAGGCTGGTGGTACAATGCTATTGCCAGCCCCCTTCACCCTGACAGATTCCCCCACCCTCCTGCACTGCTGGACAGTCCTCACAACATCCTGGCCATGTCCAGTGGGAACCCTCATAGAGAAAAGGGAACACCTGCCCACCTCAGTCCCACCCAGGTGCTTCATCAGATGATTTCTTCAGGATGAAAAGAAACTATGGGGTCAATTATAAAGTTTCTTTTGAAGAATTAGCTGGATTGTCTTGTTACAGAGCTATTTAGAGAAGAATTAATTTCCCATGCTACGCAGGTTACCTTCCTAAAGAAGCCACTGTAGTTCCAGAAACACCCCAGCTCATTTCTGGCACAGAATTTCCCCAGACACATTTGTGGGTCTGGTCCTACCCCTCTTGGCGCTCCCAGGGAGCAACCAGTTTGCCAACAAGAAGTGCAAGTCTAGCTAAAAGAGAGTATAAATTAGGAGAAGAAATATTGAGGGCTACATCTCATGCATAGGATGATTATGTGCACCAGGGATAAGAAATCCTGTCTCCTGTCCAGTACGTTAAGCTGGGATTTAGGAAACCCAGCGATTAAATGCAGAATCTGACTTTATACACAATCTTCATCATTTACTTTGTCTCAGTTCTTCATCAGTAAAACTGGAATAACAGCTCTTCCCCAAGCCACCAGGGAAATGAAAGAATAAACAAAGATTGTAAATTGCTCAAACACTGGGATAATCCTGATCATAAATATATGCAGAATGTTTTTATTTTTATTGTTTGCTCTGCAATATTGTTCATGAGGCACAGAGAATCACCATCCCCTGAGATCTGCTGAACATCCAGAAAATATATTATCAGAAAACCACAATGAAATCTAAGTGGTCTAAACCTCTTTTTTATGCCTATAACAGAACATTTCATATCTATATATTAATCACATTTCCTCTGCCATTGTACCACTCACAGTTCCCCATCTCCTATGAAATAGCTCTCCAGGATGTCTCTCACATAATTCGGTTTTGTTTTTAATGTATGCTAATGCTTTGAAACTGAATTTCATCCTTAATAAGTATTTCTTACACACACATTCTTAAATAAAGCACTCATTCTCTGGCATGCACTGTATTTTCCTAAGGAAACACTGCTGAAAGCTCTTGCACAGTATTATTAGATTGAGTGATCTTTGCCCACCTCTTTGCTAAAACAGGTCATGCTTTTGTCTGCATTCCAGTGAGCTTATGTTAGGTCCATAATAACCCCAACTCTTCCACATCACCTCCTTTATTAACCTAAATTTGCCCTCAAGGACAGCCCAGGAATCACCTATCAACTAATAGTGCTGGGAGTCAACCCCCATTTCCAGAAAAGCAGTGTTGATTAAGAAAGCCCCCTGGCAAGAGGTAAGTATGTGAGAGAAGACAACAGAGCTCACTTTAGTTTAGGAAATTTTAGATGTTCAGCTATTTTTTTAATCCCCAATCCTTCTTCTTTTTTCTCCTTTTTAAAAAAGCATCCTCTTTATAGAGTCAATAAACTCAGGAGAAACATAAGCAAACCCAGATAGATAAAGACAAGAGCAGAACATCGCGTTCATTTTCTCTTGCATCGACTTCAGCATACAAGAAAATTGGGAGGAGGAGGGCAGGAAGCATTTCATAGAGTAGCAATAGTCTGGTAGCTCTGCAGTAGAATTCACCAGACTCTGAAGATAAACCAACCGGGCTATTTGCTCTTTGAAATGCAGTAATTAAGGTCTGTGAACACAGGCTTAGGAATGTGTCACCCTGCAAACCCAGCAGCAGCAGAAGATAGAGAAAATACTATTAAGCTTGAGCTTTTGCATACACTTATTTTCCTGGGAATGCTAATCTCACTGAATTAAAAGCAAAGCATAGCAGTTTGGAGCTAAACCAGCCTGAAATGTGCAGCTGTACAGGTGTCACTTACGGTAGCACTGCTTTCCATCAGCCCCCAGCTCGAAGCCGGGATTACAGGCACAGGTGAAGGATCCCAGAGTGTTCACACAACGATGAGCACACCTGGCTCTGCCTTCTGCACACTCGTCAATGTCTGCAGAGCAGGGAGAAAGGCAAAGACATTCACTTGGATATTAAAATAAAGCATATTATTGCTCTATGTGGACATGGCTGTATGTCCAAACATCTGTTGAAAACGGCATCTTGATGTGAGTCTACAAAGGGCGGCATCTGACAAATCCAGGAACACTGAAGTGACATTATTCTCCAAAACAATCTTTTTTTTCTAAACACCATTGACCTTGAACTTCTCAGAGTGAGTATCTACAACATCAAACATTATATTTACAGTATCAGCCAAAGCAACTTGTTTATTATTCCTGTAAAAGAGCAATGGCAAAAGATGCCACATGAAGAACACAGAAGAAAGTCCTTACTCTGAAATTATCATCAGGTCCTCAATGCCATTATATTTAAATTAATGGAGCAGGAAATAGCTGATTGTTTTGTGAATGTCAAATGATCTGGGTTAAGTGGTGGCTGGGTTTCAGCAGGGATGATGGAGACAGAACTCCTCTGTCACATCCCTGAATCCTTCAGCTGCTTCTACAGCGGTACAGCAGGAGGCACCTGCTCCAGCCAGAGGAGCTTCATCCCACTTGTAAGAAAAGAAAAAGGTGCAGAGCTATAGGTGGAGAGGCTGTTCTTCCCCCAGTCCTCTGTCAAACAGTCTGTTTCTCACCTTCACATGTACTAGTCTGCGTTTTGGAGTTAAACATCACCAAAGTTGTCCATCTTCCTAAAACCTCAGTGGAGCATAAAAACACTTTTAAGAAGTAATTACTGCAAAAAAAGCAAAGCAAAAACTTACACTAAGTACTGCACAGTTGGACAAAACACCAACCTCTGTGCAAAGAGTGGCATTACAGATGGCAAACCCCTGACCCACCTCCTGCTCCTTGTTCCGACATTTTCCTTGCAAAATGCAGATTATTTATTGCACCAATCCTGGGTCAGTGTCCCGCACAGAGGAGGGAACAGTCCGGTGTGCAGCTCCTCACCTTTTATCCCAGCAAACCGCTTCCCAGGAGTTTTTTTCCTCCACGTGTGCTGTAAGCAGCGCTGTACTCGTGGCCCCTTGTAGTTGAACACAAGCAGCCTGATGAATGCAATCAGGCTCCTTGCAAAGAGAGGCCCCAGGCAGTGCAAACACCACACACGGGCTCATGAAAATTTCAGGACAAATGACAGCTTCTCTGAAGCAGCCCTGTGAGCAGCTGCTGCTTAAAATAAAATGGCTTATTTCTCCTTTTTCTGTAATTGTCAGCTTGCAAGTAGAGTACATTGGACAGTGCTGTAAATATTCTTTTCTCTTCTTCTTTTCGAAAATAATAATAAAAGGTTGGAAAACCCATAAACAGCCACCATCCTGCATGTGTTTCTTCCTGTCTTGGAAATGCAGCCAAAGTATGAGACTTCAGTTGCCCTCTGTGTCCTTCCAGCTCGGCTTCCAGAGAGTCAAATACCAGCTTGAATTTTGCAAAAGACATTGAATAACTTCTAGGAGGAAAAACCAATAATTGTATATCCATGGCAAGACATGCTGCTTAATGATTCAAAAGATTGTTGCCATGAGGCTGGGGAGAAAATTTGTTCCAATATATAACACTGCAAGTTAACTCAGTGCTTTAGTTTATACATAAATTAACGGAATTGTCAATGTGAATCTGAGATAAAACAAGTAACATGCTGACCCTACTGTTAAACCAATGCTGTTTCCATCTAACAATCACCAGTGAAGTGTCTAAACTACTTGAAAATACTTTTTTTTTCAGTGACTTCCTCATGAGGTACCCCAGTAAGAGGAGAATTGCTGAGGTGTTCCTTGCCACTCACAGAAAGGTTTCCAGGCACTATAAAACACTCAGGATAGGAAGCAAGTATTTTGCAAGGCACCCAGTACCCTTTATACAAGACAATAATTTAAATATTGGCAAAATGTTGACCAAATTCTTAAAAGAAGGAGTTTAAAATTAGTATCTGAATATGTATGTTGATCCTGACTTGGTTGTTAAAAATCTGTGCACCATGAAGTCCACCAATGCTTTCATCATACTGGAAGAGAAAAGCAGGTATTTTGATCTCTAATTCCCCCACATTTTGGGTCAGAGATGCTATAGATCCTTTTGAGAACCCCAGACTAAATACAGGACTTTGGAATTCAACTTTTTAAGCCACTCTCTTTGGAAATCTTACACATCAGGATTTCTTCCTTCACAGTAGTTTCTCCATTAATATGGAAACAGTTCTCCAGCTAAAAAGCCCTTTGAATTCTAAATAGGTTTTCAGTGACCTGGTTCAGAGTGTTACTTGAACCAATTTTCCAGGAGTTGTATCTGGGACATTATTTTAAAGGGAACACTACAACAATAACACTACAGTATCTAAAAATCCAGATGCTAGAAAGCATGACTTAGGAGATCATGGAGGAGTTTTCATTACCAAAATGGTCCTTCAAGACTGTGGGCTGATGTGAATATCACAGAGAGAGAGAGAGAGACGCTGATTCAAAACGCACACATATATTTGTGTAACACATTCCTCTCCACCCAGAGCTCAGTGAGCTCTGATTAATAACTTTCTTCACGATAAATAGTCCATAGTTTCTTACCTAAACAGGACTTTTTGTCTGCAGAAAGATAATACCCTGGATGACACTCGCATTTTGCAATTCCTCCCGCGTTTTGACAGATTTGTGAGCATCCTCCGTTCCCACTTGTGCAGGGGTCTATTGCTGAAACCAATTAGAGCACACTGTCAACTGAAAGGTCACTTTTTTGCCTGAAAATGGTCTTACCTGCCATCGTTACAATGAAGTAGCTGTAAGAGATTAGACTGGGGAAAAAAAATTGACAGACTTTGGTGTATAGTAAAGCCGTTGTTTTTCTGGGTGTTATTTCCTCTGTTGCTGGACAATATTTTTCATGGAGTACCAGCAATGCTTTAAACAGCAGGAAACTGAGCTTGTATTACACATGGGAAATAGGACAAAAAAAGTACATTTTATTCTTATTTTGTTGTACCTGAACAGATTTCAAGAGTTCGCTAAACAACAGCAATTAGCACTCCAATATGCGTGAACCCATAAACACACACAGTGGTGCAGTTCACCATGAGACAATGAATATTTAAAAGGCTCTAGAGGAAATAAACTTTGAAGAGCCCCAAAAGACATCCTTCAGTCTATAAACATATGCCATTTATGTTGTACATCAAGGTTTTTCCCTTTTCTTGAACAATAACATACTTTTTCAAGGATAAGCCACTCTAAGGGGCAAGTACTTAAAAACACTTTGTAAAAAGTGCCTGGAGAAGTCTCCAGTTCAAAGATTTCACTGTGTTTTATGGTTTTATTTCTGGAACATATAGCTGCTGGAAGCATACCTAGGTATCTGCCCGAATAAAGACTTGGCACACACCAAAACAGACCTGCCAGGACTGTTTAGACAGGTCTGATTTGGGTTAAGATCTCATATTCTGCACCAGGCTGAGGTTTTGGGTTGGAGCACTCATTACACCAACATACTGGTGAATAACACTCTGTAGGTAAATTTGGAGGACACCTTTAAAATGTGTCCTCTAGAGTTCTGCTTAGATTCAATTGAAGTTTTTTAAAATTTATGCTTATTTCCTTACAATTCAAGCTCTAATTCAGTTTTGGCATTTTACTAATTATTGTCTGATTTGAGATATTTGACCATTATTCCTCACTCGCCTCCAGCCCATCATCTCCTTCCCAAGCTCTGTAAAAGCCACCTTCTATCAGAGCCCCAGGGAGAAAATCAACATCAGTTCCACAGCACTGGTAGTGGAGTCAGGGTTTGAGGAACCCTGGGCTGAAGGAGTTTTGATCTAGACCTTGCTGCTTTGCTCTTCCAGTGGCTATCCATATATATGTAGCTCTGCAGGAGAAGGGAATAGGAGAGAAAAACCTCTGCTTTCTATAGATACATTTAAACATGGGGTAGGTTTTTTTCATTTCCACCAATTTTCACTTTTCTGTACAGCCAAGTAGCATTTTGTGCCACAGTTTGGCAAAGGAGGATGTTGCCCCAGAACACCTTCAAACTCCCTCACGTCACCGTCTCAAGAACACAACCATTCCAGTCTGCAAGGCTGAGTTTGACTTGACAGTATTTAAATAAATAAAAAAACAAAAAAAACCCCCAAAAACATTGTTAGGGATGTAGAACTGAAATTGGACTTCTGACACGATAGGTTGCAAATAGGTTTCCAAGGAACAGCAGCACTTCATCGTACACGACACTTTCAAGGCTGACAACTTGGCTCTGCAGCTCGACAATTTGCACTCTACAAAGGATTTAGCTTCAAGCAAGAACTCACTCCTTGCTGATATGAAATATTGAGTTATTTGCTGATTCTTTTTCTATTTGGGTAAATTAAATGAAATCACTATCAAACAGCATCTGTTAAACCTGCATATTATAGAGGTTTTCAGAGCAGCTAGAGCTTTAATTTGAGAATGATTACAGCAGAGAGTAAAACTTGTAATGCTCTGTGACATGACAACAGGCAAACAACAAATTATATGGTAGATGGTAGTAAAACATAGTAATTTGAATAAAGATAGCAGCCTTGGAAGTCCTAAGATGAGATAAAAGTTTGTAAAAGAAAGATCTTCAGGACATAAGGTAATCACTGATTGACTTGCTTTCCAGTGACATATTTGTTCCTGGTAAAGGCAGGTTTCAGGAGAAGCTAAAAATGATTAATTAGTGTTCTTTTTCCTACACATTTTGCTCTTTTTTTTCCACTTAATGTCTTCAGTAGATAACAGACTACATCCTACGAAGATCTAATCCAAGCTGTCAAACACTATGGCAAAAAAATTTACTGGAATGATTTGATTTCCTAGATGTCCCAGGACACAGAATCACGAAACGCTGTGGGTTGGAAGGAACTTTTAAGATCATCTCATTCCACCCCCCTGCCATGGGGAGGGACACCTTCTGCTAGGCCAGGTTGCTCAAAGCCCCATCCAACCTGGACTTGAACACTTCCAGGGATGGGGCATCCACAGTTTCTCGGGCAACGTGTCACCAAAGAAGAGGTTTCCCAGATATCCAGGAACGTCGTGTGAGAAAGCCATGGTGATTGCACTGATCTGGGTCAGCACCAAATGCTCTTGGTGCAGTGTGAGTATGACCCCTGCATGTGCTGTGGACCTTCCAGACCTTCACTGCAAGGCTGCAAAGAACAGGGTGTCCAGTCCTGCCTGCCATGACCTCTAGAGCACATAGAGAATTGGGCCTTATCAAATTAACTTCCTTGTTCACAGTAATCATGACTTTACACTGGGAAAAACTTAAAGTGGGTAAGATTAAAATTGCTAGGCTTGAGTGTTTCTCTATGGCTTTTCAGGGCTATGGGGTGCAGCATTAGCTCCCAAGGAGTCTGCAGGCATGAATTCACACCTGCAGAGCAGCTACCCCTGCTGTGGTAAATACCCTCATGATGCTGAGCTTTCTTGATCCAAACCATGCTTACAGCAGCCATGCTTTGTGGCTGGAAATTACAAGCAGCCAGGCTCACCTCCTCCCACCTTTTCTACTTAAAACACCTCTGATTGCCAACCCAAACGCGTTCATGGCCACTTCAGCCTCATTTGTTCCTGTAAAAATCTTGTCCGTTGGTTCAACTAGCACTTTTCTCTCCCAGGCATTCATTCACTAAGGTATTTACGGGGGAAGAACATCCTACTTGGTATTAATTTTGCAAGCTGAGCTCTGCTTACAGAGTCTCCTTCCTCTGAGCTCAGTTGCCCTCCTGGGGAGGCTGCACTGATTTATTTTGATTTCCACACCCTGAATACAGGTAAGCAGGCACCCAGGCCAGATCCAGGCAAGGTCTCACCTGCAGAGCTGACCCTGCCCCTTCTCCACTGTTCAGTAATTACTGGTTGGTGACAAATCGCTGCCTTTAGTGAGGGGCTGACCCTCATCAGCCCCACGATGTGAGGGAGGGAACAGCAGTGGCAAAACTTCCCCCATCAGGGGTCCCAGCCTGCTGGTTTGGCTGCTGAGCTGAACCAGCTGCTGGCAGCTGGGATAGAGCATGAGGTGGCACATGAAAGTTTGAGCTGCTTCATGGCCACCCAGGGACAACTTTCACCCCCCCCAGGCATTGCCACAATTAGACCCCACTGATGCAACCACTGTCCCACCACAACACCACAAAAAACACCAAAAAGCTCTATGCAGGTGTCTGCACATGGCTTGGCAAAGGACACCTGGAGTGCCAGAGGCAGCGGAAGAGACACGAGAAGTTTGGAAGCAGGATGGAGGACAGCGGAGCAAGGTCTCTGGTGCTCTCTCTGCACTAAAGCTCCCTGTTTCCAACTTTTCCTGATAATCTCAGGGACAAAACCTGTCCACTCCGTGAGAGAGAGAGAGGTCAGCCTGCTGTGGGTGCTCAGTGAGGCACAGCCTCTGCAGAAGGCAGGATCTGGGGGGGCCAAAAGCGAAGGGCGAGTGCTTGCTGCACACGGTGGGAGCTGGAATCAAGCTGAACAGCAGGATTTACTTACACTTCATACACAGCATATAAAATCTATGAGCAGAAGAGGAGCCATATGGAAACGGTTTTGTGACAGGGATTTTAGTGCAATAAATCTATAAATTTGGCCCTATCTTTCTCTGGCATATTCAAGGGTATGAGTGTGTGAGCTTGTGTTGAGGAACGGGGGGGCCTGCCTTAAAAACTGATGAATATTTTCAGATATATGAGAAAATAAAAGCAACAATCAAAGGTAGCACTGCTGTTCTGCTTGTGAGAGTGCTTAGAAACGTGAAGGGGAGGATGAATGAATCAGACTGTGATAAGCCAAAAGAAGATAAAGAAAACACTTCATGCAGAATAAAACATGTTATACAGGCCAACTCTATATACAACTTGATGAGCAACAAAATGTTAGAGTTAAAACACGATTAAGTTTCTAACCTGTCTCATCATCGTCAGTGTGCAAGGAGCAGCCAGGGGTCTGCGAGGCCAAAATCTTGTTTGAAGTTGTGATTCAATGTGAACTTCACACCTCAAACATGTGTCGTTTTAAAACCCTGTTAATAAGTGATTTCTAAAGCTGCTTTTGGAGAGCAGGGGGAAACAGGAATGAATACAGTGACCCAAAACACCAGCCTGGAGTCTTTTAAATTGCCTTTACTGTGTGTCTCTAGGCAGGTAGAGCAGGACTTACCTTCACAGGATTTGGCATCCCTCCTCAGCTGGTAGCCTGGCTGGCACTGGCACTTGTAGTGGTCATCGAGCTGAACACACTCCTGCTCACAGCCCCCGTTGTTAACACTGCAGGAATGGAGGGCTGGAGCCAAGGAAGGAAGGGAGGAATGCACGTCAACAACCTGAGAAACTTATTTCCTATTTTAAATATATAAATGACAGTAAAAATAGACAAACCTCTCCAAACTGCTTTCATAAATGCACCTGTCCCATCCCCTGAGTGATTACCCTCCCTTGTGTTCACGGGGCTTGTCTGACACAGTGTCCCACACCAGTGAAAGCCTAATTCCAGTGAGAGGCAGGTGAGATCTAAGGGCTGTAATGCTGACTGAAGCACAGCACCCTTTGATCTGACAGCACCAAAGCGCTGAGAATCCACTGAGGTAAGGAGGGGAGAAAAAGAGCAGCCCTGCTGGCACTCGCCCAATGATTGCTTTTTTCTCTCCTGGCTTTCATTGATTAAAAATAATAATAATAATAAAAATTGTCTTTCAGGCTGATTTCCTCAGCCCTGTGCATAGGAAAATGCAAATGACAGGAGCCAAAAGCTCCACAGGACAGATTTACAAAGCAAACCACAGGAACAGAGGGTCTTCAGTACATCTCAAAAGACGCTGCTTCTTTCACCCAAGCAAATTAATATTCTTTTTTGTTCAGCACATATCCCTGGCCTCTGGAGAAACATTTCTCCTCCTGCCAAAATATATTCACACACACCCACACCTATTCACACGCTGCATGTAAAAATAAGAGTGATGGTCTGAAGTTGCTATTGTGCTGTATGGATGGAAGTGTGACTGTGTGCATGGTTGCATTTACATATATTTTAACAGCAGGGATGCAGAATGTAGAGATTTAAACTAGATATTAGGAAGAAATTCTTGACCCTGAGGGTGGTGAGGTGCTGACACAGGTTACTCAGAGAAGCTGTGGCTGCCCCATCCCTGAAAGTGTCCAGGGCCAGGTTGGATGGGGTTTGGAGCAACCTGGGATAGTGGAAGGTGTCCCTGCCCATGGCAGGGAGGTACAATCTTTAAGGTGATCTTTAAGGTCCCTTCCAACCCAAGTCATTCTGTGATTTTATGTTCTCTACAATTCCATGTTCTCCATGAGCAAATGGAAAGACTATTTGGTCGTTCACGGAAGGCACCAAACTTTTAACCCAATGAAATTCATCAAAGAGCTTTGATATTTATTTTAGGAATATTCATATTAATCTGTAATTCATTTATCTGGACTCATTTATCTGTAACAGACATTAGAAAACGTTAGACACAAAGCCTGTTGCAGGATTCGTTTCACCCTGTGCCACCAATTAGCAAATACTGAGTGTGTGCAGTCAAGTATGTGACAAATGGCAAAAAGAAAAGCAAATTTTTACATTCTCCTGGATGCACACCCAGCAGGAGGCACCTCACTGCACAAGGACCTGACCTGGCTTCTGATCTCCATCGATGTCCATGAACCTTCTGCCCTGTTAGTGATGGAACTTGAAAGCAGTTCTGTGTCTACATGGGAGGCGAGGCAGCAGACCCCATACACTCTGAGTTTCCAGTTTCCTGTACATTTGTATCCAAAGGCCTGTTTTTCAGCAAGAATATTCAAATAAGATGAAAATATTTCAGAAGATGAAAAGCATCTTAAAACCAAGTGACAGAATATACATCTCGGTTTTTAAAAGTGCCATTTTCCTCCCTCCTTTCCTGGGCACAAGCCAATCTGGATGCAAGAGGAGATGAGCAGCAACCTGTCATGATGAAAATTTTGGAGGCTTTGAAGGCAGAAGGGCACAGGTGTGGAGTGCTGTGTCAAGAGCCTGTGCTGGCGAGGTCGTTCATCCCAGTCCGGAGTGGGCTCTGCCAGTGGTCGGGCAGCCAGAGGTTCCTCTGGAGCAGCCAGGGCAGGTTTATCATGGCTGCTGCCGAGGCATCACGCTGGATACATAAGAGGAGGTGCTAGACTGAAGCAGAAGAGCCTCCGGGGGCAGAACAGGATTGATTGTGCTCGTGCTGCCAAGTGCTGTCTGATCAGAAAGAGGGAGAGACTTGGCATGACATGAGTCAAATTCCACCTGTCTTAAAGGGGCTTGTGGCTGGAGGTCTGAGCATCTCCACAGGATCTGGGAAGAAATACGGAATGCCCTCTGCTTTTAAGGAATTACTCCTGAAGTTTGGTGAAAAACCAGCTCCTCTGTGAAGTGCCAACAGGAACGGTGGCACAGGCACAGCCATGGCTCTTTGCCGTGTCTGGGAATGCCAAGAGAGGGAGGCAGTGTTGCTGGAAGTGGGGCAGAGGTGGGAGGCATCATGCAGGAAAGACAAGGATCATAGAATCACGGAAAGGTTTGGGTTGGAAGGGACCTTAACAATCACCTTGTTCCAACTCTCTGCCCAGGGCAGGAACACCCACTATCTCAGGTTGCTCCAAGCTCTGTCCAAACTAGTCTTGAACATTTCCAGGGATGGGGCAGTCACCGCCTCTCTGGGCAACCTGTGCCTCACCACGCTCACAGCCAAGAATTTCTTCCTAATATCTAATGTAACCCTACCCTCTGTCAGTTTGAAGCCCTTTCTCCTTGCCCTGTCACTACATGTCCTTGTAAAAGGTCCCTCTCCAGCTTTCTCATAGGCCTGATCTCCTGATAGTTGAGAAATACACATTTCTCAACCCATTAGTTTTTTATAATGGTTGTATTTTGACAAAGAGCTGAGTCTGAAGTCACAGTTAGATGCATGTATAGCAACCAAGGGGTCAGAACATGAAATCTCTTCAAGACTATGTTTTCCATCACCTTAAATCCAAGCTTAGCAATGCAAGAACTGTAACTTCAGAAATACAGTGCTTTTATTTATGTGGGAAAACATAGATTATAGAGTTGTAGAGATATTTTCTTTGTTACTTCCTCTATTAAGAGCCTTAGTGTGCTAAAATCTCCATAAAAACCTGCATCTCAACAAAAAGCAGACTTCAAAGATAACAGCTGGCACCAGAGATGAATCGGGGTCTAACAGCCATGCTTTGCTTTCACTTCTAGGAGTTCAAACAGGAATGAATTCCAGTGAAGACAATGACTCTACAACAATCCAAACCCACAGCCTGATACTACAATAAACATGTTCTTTCTGAGCTTCAGCTTTTCCAGATAGCAGTTAGTTAAACTCCAGTGAAGCCAAATTCATTGCAATAACATAATCAAGGCATTACGAACAAAACAAACAAAAAATTGGACAGTGTTACCTCTGTTTATTCTAATTACCTAATTTGTAGTGAATATTTGGTCTGGCACATATATCCAAAAATGAATTAGATATTGAGTAAAATTTGTGGGACCTAAAAAGCTAAAGAAAGAAAAGGATCATTGAAAAAGATGGGATTCTGGCATGGCACAAAATATCAGATATTATCAAAGGATCCAAGAATGAAGTATTTTACATTCACAAACTGGTTTTTGCTGAACAAGGGAATGCATTTTGGAGGTTCTTTGCCTTCGGATACAAGCAGAAGTTTCTAATGAGAGCAGGAGGAACAACAAACAGATTTCCTCAATCCATGTACTTTGAGGATCATACTGGCAATGGAGGGATGAAGCACCAGCAACTGGTCAGGATCCCAAACACACTATGATGACACGGTAGGAGGACCAGACTCACTGGAAAGAGCTCGTGACAGAAGTTCATTAATATTCCATGAATCACATGAGAAAGTAGCTTATCCCAAGTTTTTGAGTCTTCACATGTAGGTTGAATATCTTATAAGATGATAGATCCACTTCCTTATGTATGGGAGACGTCCAAGCCATCCAGGCTGCAAAATCTGCTTCCCCTCAAATGATTTTGGCACTTTTGCTCTCAGAAACACAGGGTTGCCAAAAAAGAAAAAGAAGACGTGGAAAGAATGAACGCAACAGCAATCTGGGCTGGGCTCATCTGAAAAGCCTGTCTAAAGGGATGATTGTTTCTTATTTCTGCAGCTGAGATAATCACCTTCCATAAACAGCACAGTGCTGGAATGTAGTCCCTTTTTATTCTCAGCATGTGGGAGAGATCGTTACACCCTCTAAAGCATCCATGGAAGAAATACTGTTGCTAATCCAAACCCTATTTGAAATGCTACATATTCTGTTTAGCTGCATGAGGTCAAAAGAGAGGTGCATTACTGGGTTTACTTCTCGATCAGATGAGTGGTGAAAGCTGAATGTAAAACCTGGGGCAGCAGAAGAAACAAACTCTCTATCCCCAACAAGCACCTCTGCCCAAATCCCAGTTCTAGGCACTCCTGGATTACTGGTTTATAGGAAATGTTTCTCATCAATTAGTATCTGTCTTGTGCTCCAGTGCATTAGAGTTTATTATATCCATTTATTTTGGTGTCTTGCCTAAGCAGTTGAAACAGAACTCAATATCCTCTGTCAGTATTGTGAAAATCCATTATCATGATAGCAGTTGTTTCTGAAACTCACTGCTGACTCTCATTTTAGGATTTATTTCTTGTGTCTCCTTGATAATTTCTGAGATATTGAAAACAAAACTGATCACTGCATGAAGTATTTTTAATAACTTCTTGAGAATACTTACATTTGTGAACTGAAAACTTTTTCTCTGATACTGTTCCCAGCTCCGACAACTCCAAACTGAGCTTCTTGATTATTTGGACCTTGAGAAAACTTTGCTATTCTATGTCCACAGAAAGTTTTACATATTGCAAAGGCAAAGTCATTCGACTGCCATAATATCTACTTTTTGCATTTTTCATTCAGTTTATCATCCTCTTTTCCCCCAAAGTCACTTTAGTCCTTTTTTTTGTGTTAAATTCCCTCTCCACCACAGCTGAAAATGAGACTATTCAGAGAAAGTCATGTAACTCAAACCTCACATTTTTCGCTTCTGGGTCTTCCCTGGTCAGATCTGATCACAGAGAGAAAAAAATTCTCTTTTAATTCACAGAAAACCACTATTGTTTCTAGTTAAATATGAACCACTCTGCTTTTACATTATTTTTTCTCTAACAGTAGCGTTTCCTACCCATTCTTTCACTAAATAAGATAATCAAGAAAAGATTGAGACTTTACCATATTTTTAATTGCAGTTAATTACCAAAACACTGAAAAGTCTCTCTATGTGATAAACCCAACAAAAGAGTATATTTTTAACTAAAAAAACCCCAAACCATTATTCCCACAGCTTGAGCACGGGTACCTCTTGTGTTCTAGTTGCACCAATGAATGTACTGCTGTGATAATACCAGGAATGAGTGATGACACCCTTGGCTGATGTTAAGCACAACCAAGGGACTTTGAGCAAGAACTGAGACAATGACCAAAGTGTGAGTGAACTTATTCTGCAGATGTGGTCTGACCACACTTGACTGTTCTTCTCACATTACCTCAAATCAGGGTTAAAAATTTAAACAAATGATGCCCTTTTCCTCTTCCCAGACGAAAGAACATTTTAATCTTTTTTTTTCAGAATTCAACAACTTGACTTCTGTACTGATTTAAATGCAATACAAGGACTGTATATTTTATATTATTATTTTCAGCAACATGCAGAATTTACTCTGTTATGTCTTGTTTCAGGGCTCAGAGTCCAACCTAAGAAACAGAGGGTTTATTTCTAATGGCTGCTAATCCTCTCCACTTAAATGGGCTGAACTGCTGAGCCCTGTGGTGCTGTCACTGACATGAGCACACACAGGGTAACTCCACATTGTAAATCACAGAATCATTTAGGTTGGAAAAGACCTTTAAAACCATCGAGTCCCAGGACAGGGAGATGTGCCACAAAGAAAAAAACGCTCAGAATTCAAAAAACGCTGTCATTTGACATGAAAACACTGTATTTGTTCAATTCAAAACAGAAGGAATTTTCACAAACATGGGACACCATCACTGCTTTTTGTTCACAAAAAAATCAGACAAAAAAGCAGTAAATTTGGCAATACCTGAACTCTCACAGGCTGCTTGAAGTGGGATGGATAATGACACCCTTTGTGAATTAGTAAAAACTAAGACTGGGGAAGTCTACAAACCTTTGCACTTAGACAAAGACAGGTTTAGTAGAGAAAAACAACACCTTGGAAGTAGGTGAAGTGCTTGTTAAAGCCTCCTTACCGATGCAAGTGCGTCCGTCGGCGTGGAGCCGGAATCCCGCCCGGCACTGGCAGTGGAAGGAGCCGGGAGTGTTGACACAGCCTTGCTGGCAGCCACCGTTCACCACAGCACACTCATCCACGTCTGGAGAAGGAAGGGACATGGTGAGGAAGGCTTACAAGGGAGCCCCAGCACGGGCACACCCCGGTTCTCCTGGACAGCGCACGGCTCACACATAACGTAGCCCCTGCACTCAGCCTGGGCTGTTGTTTACTTCGCTTCGGCACCATAAACAGGGCAAAGAAAATCAGAATTTTATGGTATATTTTTCCAAGTTCCCACGGGCACTGCCTCTGTAGTCTCTACTTCCGAAGCCCTTGTTAAGTAGAGTGATTTGTGACACGGCTGTTTCCTTGGGGCCAAGAGAAAAATACAGGGAATGAATTAGGGTAAGATAACATCTGAGCTTGTAGGTACCACTGGTCAAACATACGGCTTCAGTAAAAATTTGCTGCGTGAAGATTTTCTTCTGCCTTTAATCCTATTAGCTCCTGAGGGTACAACCACATAAAACTGACATAAATGGAAATGAGCCACACTCCCCATCACCATTACATTTTCAACCATGGAATGCACAGAGAGCTTAACAAGCAAATTTTAAAATTTAGTGCCACATTTTCTGTGACTCCTGTCATAGAATCATAGAATCACAGAAAGGTTTGGGTTGGAAGAGACCTTATCTCATTCCAACACCCTGCATGGGCAGGGGCATCTTCCACTAGACCAGTTTGCTCCAAGCTCCATCAAGCCTGGCCTTGAACACAGCCAAGATGGGGAAGAACGTTGTCCCTTGATCTTAGTTGTGTTCACCTGAACTTTTCACAGCATCTTCTCTGATGACCTCCCAAAAAAATGATGTGAGTTCCTGTTGATACCTTTTCTGAAGCTAAGCAGGTATCATTCCATATTTCATATTTTAAGGGATTACATTCAAATGCAGAGGGAAATGAGCATTAAACCAACTTGAGAACACTGCTGTAATGTTATCTCTGAAAATGATGGACAATGATGGACAAAGATCAAGAACAGTTTAAGTAAACAGGTCTGAAACAAACCCATAAAACTGAATTTCCAAAAGTACCACATAAGCAGTTTCTGCATCTCTTCAGCAAAGCTGAGCTACTGTAAATAGCAGTTGATTGGCATGTTGACACCCTTATCTTAAAAATCAACACAGAGGTCACTGAAAATAAGGGTCAATTAGTCCAATCCCTGAAAAAAATTCACCTGGCAGGTTTTGGCCTAGAATTTGTCTGCCCTTTCCGTAACAGTCCCCAGGGATGACAACTCCACCTCCCACCAACTCACCCAGAGGCAACGCTAGTACGGAATTCTTCCAAACACCAAAGACATTCTCCTCCCAAAGCCAAACCTCTCTCCTGCAACAGACATCTAAAAAGAACCGCCCTTTCAACACTAAAGCCTCTTGTTGATTTAATTGCCCTTTACATCATGTTCTGAAATCATTTAATGAGGGGCAAATCCACAAGTGCTCCTGTGGGGAAAGGAGCCGGCAATGAAGGGGTTTCCCTCCCATATTGCACTTGAGTAACAGGGGGTCTGGCTTTCATATCTTTGCTGTGGATATATCTGCTTTGCATTTAGCTTTCATGGTTAACATATTTTTAATGCTTTTATGTTTATTACATTTTAGAAAATCTAATCAAAATTAAATGAAAAGGGAAGTTTTAAAGATGATTTGGAAATGCACAACATCCCAGTCCTGAGGAAATGTATTTATAAAGTTATATTTTAATATTTCACATGTGAATTTCCCTCACCTAAAATGAAGTCCTGGTGTTGACTGGTGTTTAAATTCAGACCATTTGCTAACATGAACCACTTTTTTATACTTCTGCTATATTTGCCATTTTATTAGACTGTATACTATATACATTTCCTACTGCCTGGAGACATCTGGAATTTCTCCTTTTTTTTTAAACAGAAACTTTGCTTTTTAAAATGTAAACAGTAAACAGAAAATGTTATTCAACTTGTTGAATTCCATATTGTTAAGAACCAGCCTGAAAAATGCCAGGGCAAAATCAAACCCAGGAAACTATTTGTATTGAGTATCTGAGAAATAAAATTAGAAAAAAGACTCAGAAAAATAGAACAAGGAATCAGTTGAACTATATAGTATGCCACATTCTAGTATTTATACCTCAATAAACTCAAACACCGGGAGCTTCAATATATTCATTTTATGGTCTACAATCAGCTCCAGATTTTTTCTCATACACCAAATGCAGTTTTAAGTTAGAATATTGGCACTTGCAAAGGAGAAAAAATAGTACAGATAATAAAAACGAGCTTGGAGTTAGTGCTATTCATTAGTCTTGATCTGAAGATTTAAAAGAAGGGACTTGGTTTAAAGGGAGCTCTGAGCCCAGCAGCTCTTCCTTCAATGGTATTTCCCTCATGCTGGCACATCTCAGAGGGCCATAAAGCAATGATATTGCTAAAAGGCAATATAATTCAATGAAAAATAAAAGAACCCACAATGCTTGTATAGTTGAGCTGGACCTACCCCCACCCTGAGACTCCCTGCAGCAAGTGGGGGGAAACCAGAGGCGAGACCCTCAAACCCGCAATGCAACTCCACGACACCACACGAGCAGCAAACCTGATGACAGACAATCCCTTCCAGCCTCAGCCTTCCTCTGCAAGATCAATATTTTAAGGATTACACGTTGAAAGATTCCTTTACATCCCACAGATAAAATCAAGAATGATGCGAGGCGCAGTCGCTTTTCTGTGTCTCCTCCATCTCCAGGCCAGGAAACAGCTTCGCCCACAGTTACAGCAGAAAAATTCCTTAATTATTTTGTCTGGTGAGCAGTCTGGAAAGCAGACACTGATCTAAGTGCTTGAACTGCACTTGAAAGTTTTAAAATTCCAAACTATTTGGTCTTTTTACGTTAGAACTGCTAGGGTAGTAAAGGACACACACAGCAACAAAATAACAGCCTATGCTGCTGTAGGCACACAAATACTCATTTATTTTTCTACACAGGAATACCTACAGAAAGATGAAAGTATTCTAGTATAATGAACGTATAAAACTGTTTTTAAGTATTCCAGAAATATAAAGTCATTATATTATAATTGTAGAATAGTATGGGATTATGGAAAATTGTATCTGTGACTAAATTTGGATTAGTTTTCACTGCAGATCAAGCTGAAACACCTACGTGCTCAACTTTCTATAGTTACAACTTAGGATACTTATCTGAATAACCTGAATTTCAAGCCACTTATGGCTTGCTTATCACAAGTCAGACTATGATGAAAGCAACTGAATTCCCACAAAACAGAGGGAAAGCAATCCACAGAGACAAGAGGGGAAATGAGAAGAACTGTGTGCTGTCCCCAGGCTGCCTTGCAAAGGGGATTTTACTGCTGGGTGATCAAAGTAGAGGTGGCACTGTGGATATTCTCCTTCTCATTCTCAGAAGATTTCAACAGAGGTGCCTTATAGTGGGATTCCCCACTGAAGGTATCTCCCTGTGTTCCTGTTTAGCCACTTTTCACCGGGAACAACCTGGGAGGAATAATCTGGTACTCAATAAAACCCAGTAGTCTGTGTGTTTCCAAGATGTAAAGTATTTTAGCCATCATGACATGCATCTCTCACGTCTCTTCATGTTTCTGAGCTCTGTGCATTTGGACTGACCTTTCCTCCATCCCATCACAAGGTACATCCCAAGTTCTGAGCATGGGAAAAATGTACCAATGCCCAACCTGCTGTCAGCACTGTGCCCTTTCCAAGGGCTGGTCCTGCTGAAGGAGTTACAGGTTGTGAAGTTCTCCACACCCCTGACTAAGGGACCTGCTAATCTTCAGGGAGGTTTGTCCCTAATTGATTTGAGGAGCCACATTGGCAATAGTCTGTTTTCTCTGCCCAGTGCAGAGCTGTGTGACTGCTTGTTTGGAATTCAGGGTCATCACATCAGTGGCATTTTTCGTATCATTACTAAAATGTTAGGAACAGCTATGATCAATCAGTTCCTAAAATATACACCAACAGTGGTGTTAAACACTGGTAAATACTAAACCTGAAATCATGTTTTTTACAAAGGAAAAAAAAAAAAAAGAAAGATGCTGCCAGATCAATTCCCTAACTAATAGCTTTGCTTTTATAAGAAATGTAAACAACATACAGAACTAAATCCCAAAAGAAGGAAAAAAGGCTGCTCTGATGGCAGCAGGACTGCATTTTTGCATTATCCTCTCAATTTTTATGATATTTCCATTCTTTTCTGACCATGCTGAGCAAGACAGAGTTGTGAGTGGGCGGACTACTTTTCAGCTCCCAGTTTTTAAGTTCTCCACTTGGAACAGCCCGGCAGCACTTGCAGGTCAAGAGCTGCAACCACAGCTCCCACAGCCCTGAATGGAGGAGAGCTGATGCTGCCAAAGGCTCTGGTGCTTACACTACAAACCAGGTACATCCTTAAAAGTGCACATAAACACCTGAAGGATCACATTTCAGAATCCTGAATGGAAAGAGAGATGGTGTGCCAAGGGTATCCCAGGGATGGTATTCACACTGAGGACACTGCCAAGACCACCACGTGAAGTCCAAGTAGGCACAGGGTGACAGCAAAGTTTAACTCTCAGGGAGCTTCACTGAGCCAGTGGTATTGGTTCAGGGTGACAAATGAACAGGATTTCTCTCTCGGATATAAAAACATGCACAGATTGAGAGCTGTTCAAAGCCAGTACTTTCTGACAGATAAACAGAGACAAAATTTCCTCTTCCCAGTGCACAGGCACTGATGGAGAAAGAAACCAGAACTGGATTGTACCGACCTTATAATTTAGATGAGATATAAGGAAAAATATTAGATTAGGTATAAGGGGGGGAAAAAGGGTTGTAAAGAACTGGAACAGGCTGCCTGGGGCAGTGGTGGAGTCACCATTTATTCAGTTTTTGGCAAAAATTCTACTTTAGCAAGCAAAGAACACCACGGAGAGGCAGGAACCAAGAAGTTCTGAGCATCACCCACTTCACAGACACCAGAGACTTCCTATGGATGAAAATATTTCTGTCCAGTTGGGAGCTGATGTAAGAACAGTTT